AGAATATATTAAAGTTATATTTATAAAAAATTATTATTTTTATGAAATTTAAAGCACTTATGATGTCGAGAAAAGTAATTTTATTATATTATAGAAAAAAAAAAAAAAAACGGGAAAATTATTTGAATGAATGTTTTGATGTTTTTTTATTGATTTGAACATACCTTTTTATGGATTATTTTGAAGTTTTGAATAAAATACAAGAATTCTATTAAAAAAAAAAAGAATATAGGAAAAAATTGTAGTAGGTATATTATTTGTTCATGATTTTATTATCAAAAAATTTAAATTGAGAATTTATTATTTATAAAAGGCTTTTTTAATTTAATTAATTGTTGAATTTTTTTTTTTTTGTAGTATTAAAAAATTTAAAAATTAAAAATTATAATATTATTTGTATTTTTTTCAAAATTTAAAAAATTAAACAAAAAATTAAAAATGAAATAAATAATTTTACAAACTAATAATAATTTTACAAATTCAATATATCCTAAATAATCTCCTACTTAAATAAATAAACCTACCTATTAAGACTCTCCTTAATCCATAATTTAATACCAAGAATCCCCTAAACCCATGAACAGATAGTTTAAAACTATCTATGAACCACTTAAAGTCGAACAATCATTAAAAATAAATTAAAGTTTAACAGATTAGGACTTTTTATGTAAAATAAGTACCTAATTAAACACTGAGAAGGAAAAAATCGAGAGAATATTTACTGAAATGGAGTAAAATATTTAATAATTGGAAGCTTAGTTTGAAATATCATATAGTATAATTAACAAAATAGAAGAGAAATATGAGAACTTTTCGTGTTTGTTATAAGGGGTTTAAATGTGGAAATTTTCTAGGAAAAATAATAAGAATTTGCATATAAGAACTTTTTTTTATTCCCCACATATTAATGCTTTTTGTTGGAAGTCTAATAAAAGCTTTTTCCCTGAAAAAAATTAAATTATTTTCTTAAAAAATATCAAATAAATTTTAACATAAACTGATAGATTTTTACCTAAAAATGTCGCAAAAGAATGCTTTTTTGCCCTAGAATTTTTAAATGGATAAAAATTAGAAATTGTGGCCCCTTCAGTGCAAATCAAAGGACTTTTTGTCAAGGTCTTGTAATAATTAATGGAAAAAGAGTACTTAAAAAAAGATTAAAATAAGAGTTTTTTTATTGAAAAGTATTAAGAAGATATTCGAAATCTACAAGCTTAATTGGGAAAAACAAGGTAAGTATTTTAGGAATCTTCGAATAACTTAAGATTTACTTTTGTGGAGATTATAAAGCAGGAAAAGACAAAAAATGAATAAAAAAATATTTATTAAAAAAGTAATTTCGAGTAACTTATTTTTCAAAATTAACAATTAAAATAAGAAAATGATATTCTTTTGGAATAATTAGAAGAGAAAATATAGGAAAAAAATATAAATGAGAATTTAGATAAAGAAGTCGACTTTTGGAAAAATTAAAATTCGGAAATTAAAAATGAGGTGAATAGTATACTTTTGGAAATCGAAATAAAAGAAAATTAATTTTAGAGTGTAATTTTTTAATTATAGGAGATGAAAAAATAATTTTTGGATGAATAAAATATAAATATTTTCTAAAAAAAAGAATAAATTTTAATTGCTTTGCTTTTTTCCTTAATTCTTTCAAGGGAAGAAATATATAATTTTTAATAAAATTAAAATAATCTTTTTTAAACTATTTTTTAAAAAATACATTTATAATAGTCAGAAAATAAACAGTAAATAGATCTTATATAGAATTAAATATACGAAATTTTTTCCAATAAAAATAGAGATTAAGCCTTTTTTTATTAGGCTTTATAAATAGCCTTAAAGTCTTTTATAAATACAAATAATAATAATAATCATGCATTGAATACATAAATTAGTTTGCAAACTAATTTCACTAATAATTCACCGATTAGTTAATAATAGTATTAATACTAGTATAATACAGGAAATAAACACAAAAGATATGTAAGCGTATTTGAATAGGCAACTAATGAAGATTTGTAGTAAAATTAAAATAAATTAAATGTACTTTAATATTTATTTAAAAATAAATTTTGATGTTTGTATATTTTATCAGTTAATAATATAAAAACATTATATATAAATAAATGTATATATATATATTTTAAAAAAAATATACATATTTTATTGATGTTAAAATATTAATATTATTATAAAAAAAATTAATTAAAAATAGAAAATAATTAAACTATTATATTTAATCTTAAATATATATAAATTTATTTCTAATTATAATTATTTGCTTTTTTGCCTTTATTAAAGATATAAATTTATAAAAATAAATATAGATAATAATCAAATTATTCTTAATACAGCTATAAAGAAAAATTATATTTTCTAAAAATCTTAAAACCATTTCAAAAAAAAAATTAAGAACTATTAATAATCTATTTAAATAAGATTATAATAAAGGTAAAAAAATTGGCATTTAATTTTTAAGTATATATAAATATATTAAAAAATTATATATCTAATAAGATATTAATGATAAATTAAAAAAGATTTTATTATATTTATAACAAGAAATCTTATATAAATGAAAAAAGATTTATATATATAAAAATATAAAATAAAAAAAAATATATGATTATATATATATATTTAAATATATATATATTTATATATTTATATATTTATATATTTATATATTTATATATATATATATTTAAATTCATTTTATATTTATCATCTTCATCTAATTTTACAAATTCATAGATATTTAAAATAAAATAATATAAATGATATATTAGAAATATTTAAAATTAATTTTATTTATGTTTCTTTGACTTTTAATAATTAAATTCAATACTAATAAATATTTATATTTGATAATATATAATTATATTTATTATTTATTGTATTTTTTTTTTATTTTTTTTAATATTTTTACATTTATAATATATATATATATATATATATATATATATATATATATATAATATTCATTTTATATTTTTTTTTTATTTCTTTATAGTCTATTTTTTTCTTCATATAATTAAATGAATACATTTTTTTGTTTATTATTTTTCAATTAATCTTTTTTATTATATACAATTTAATTATATTTTTATAATATATATATATTTGATTATATTAAAATATAAATTCTTTATTTTTGCTTTATTTGAATATATATTTCTTATACATAGAACTAATTTTATTAAAACTTTGCTTTATATTTCTCTTTTGCTTTTCAATATATTATTTTTCTGAATATTTCTATTACTTTATGTCTATAATATTTTTAAATTTATTGATTCATTATTAAAAACATTTTAATTCTTTTTTATAATTTTTTTATATTCAAATTTTTTATATTTATATCTCTTAAAAACTATTATTATATTCCAATTAAAAGTTACCTTTATTATTTTCATCTAATTATTATTATATTTATACCAATTTATAATAAGAATTTTATATTTTATTTTTCCCAACAACATTATAATCACATTAGTAAAAAACAATAGTAACATTAGCAATCAAATTTAAAAAAAAATTAATTATCGATTGCATAGTTTTTTAAATTCTCATTAGCAATATTTATTAATTAAAAATAACATTCTTTATTAAAATTTATATAATTTTTTTTAATATTTCAGATTTGATAATAAATATATTTTCAAAGAAGGATTTAAATTATCATTTTATAATGATTTTTTAAAGAAAAAAATATTTAATGAATTTATATATGAAATTTTGAATATTTTATTTAAATATTTTTATAAATGTCTAAGTTTATATACTAAAATACAAGTAGTCTTTTTTAATTTTTTTTTTTATTAGAATTAACAAATAAATCAAATTAGTTTTATTGCTAATTAGAATGATTAAATTCTTAATTAAAATTAAAATAATCTCTGAATATATAATATATAAATAAAAATAAATAAATATGAATATATATATATTTACATAAATATAAAAATATGAAGACTTTTTATTTACTTATTATTTTATTTAAATATAAATTTTCATTAATATATTTAGTAAATATTTTAATTAATATAAATACTATCATAAAAACAAAAATTAAAAATGATTTATTATATATATATATATATTAAAAAATAATGCTATAATCATAATATAATTTCAAAAAAAAATAATTTTTATTAAAAAACATTAATTATTTTAAAATTAAACATATAAATATTTTATATTTAAAATTTTAATATATTTGTAACTTTATTTTAATTAATTTTATAATCAAAAATATTTCTAAAAAATTTAACATTTATTTATATTATATAAGATGTAAGTGTACTTCATTTGTATAATATATTTACACTTTAAATATATAACTATTATTATGCATATTTTTATTTTTAATAAAATTAATTTAATATGATTATTATTTTTTATACTTTTTGAATTATATTTTCTAATTAATTTAAAAAAAATTAATTGATGTAATAAGTTTTTAATATTGCATTAACACTTTAAATAGAACTTAAAATTTTAGGTTTATTAATATTTTTTACTTCTAAATTTTTTATTTTGAACTCAATTACATCAAAACATAATTTTTATAAAATAATAACAACTTAATTTATGAACACAAAGAAAAATTATATAATTTTAAATTATTATTTATAAATGTATTTTTAAAATATTAATATGTATTTATTAATTATATAATTATATTTAAAAATCAGTTTATCCTTTTAAAATACATTTTTTATAATAATATAAATATTTCAATTATCAATATTTATATTATATAGATTTAAAATTTTAAGTTTATATTTATTATTTACTTTTTTATAACATTAAAATCTTTAAAAATTATTAAAAAAAAATCAAGAAATTTAAAGTAGACTTTTAAATAAATAATAAATAAAATACATTTTTAAATTCAATAATTTTTAATTATAATATAACAATAAATATTATTAATATCTTATATAAGAATTTTAATATAAGATGTAAATATAGTTTAAAAATCATAAAAGATCTTTTAATTAAAAAAATATAAAAAAAAACCATATTATTATTAAATTTTTAATATATTCAATACTAATAAAAATTATTAAAATAAACTCAAAAAGTCTCAAATAATTTCCAAACTCCTTTTAAATATATAAAAATTTCATTTGCTCCCAATTTAGATTCTCCATATAATCTATCAACAAATACAATTGGAACCTTTAAAATATATTTTTTTTTAACAAAAAAAAAAAAAACTATGAAAATAGTAAAATACCTCTTCAACATTATATTTATAATTCTTAGCTCTAATAATAATTTCCATTTAAAAAGCATAGCCTTTACTAATAATATCTTTCATTATATTTTAAATAACTTCTTTTTTATAAAGTCTAAAACTTCCAGTTAAATCACTATAAGAAGATCCTAAAAGTGTTTTTGCTAAAAAGTTTGCAACCCTAGAAGTTAATTTTCTGATAAAATCCCAACCGTATACCCCACCACCTACTTTATATCTTGTTCCTGTGACAATATCTGCATTTTTTTCTGCTTATTTGTTTATAAAATAAGGAATATATTTAGGGTGATGTGATAAATCAGCGTCCATTAAAATTATAAAGTTTCCTGTTGCACATTTTAAACCATCCATATATGCACTACCTAAACCTAATTTTCCTGGTCTAGTGTGAAGTATCTAAATTTTATATAGTTTTTTTTTATTAAATATACAAATTAATTTTTATTAAATTTTTTATTACAATTTATCTTTTTTCAGTTTTTGGGTAAATTTTTTAAAGTTATCTTGCAACCTTATTTTTTTAAAAATATAAGTAAATATATTTATTTTACATGTGATGTTCCATCCGGAGAATTATCGTCTATTATTACTATTTCTAGATTCAAGTCACTTTCAATTTAGAAAAGAAAATAATTAAATATAAAAAATACCAAATTTATATTATATAAATGTACTTGTATTATGCCATATCAAACAATAGCTTTATAACAATAGGTAAATTATCTTTTTCATTATATGTAGGCAATAAAATTGAATATTTATTATTTTATGTCATTATAGAATTTAAAATTTTTTATTTTTATTATAAAAAGATATTATAATATAATAAATTTTTTATAATTTTTTTTTAAATTTATTTATTAATTATATAAAAAAAAAATTATAAAAAATATATTAATAAAAATATAAATTAAATAAATATATATATATATATAAATAAAGCAAAAAAATCAAAAAAAAAAAGTTTATTATAAAATTAATTTACAAATAAATATACAAATCATAAAAATTTAATAATTATTATATATTTATTATTAAAGTTAATAATAATATTTAAATTATTATTATTATCATTATTAATATTTTAATATTATTATTATTATTATTATTATTATTATTTTTATTATTATTATTATCAATATTATTATTATAATAATTATTTTTAACATTAATATCATTTTAAATATTTAATATATAAATTTTTTATAAATTATTTAATTTTAATCAATTTAATAGTTTAATTATTCTAATTTATATATATAAATGTATTACTTTTTTTATATATATTTAATTTATATTATTATATATAACAATACTCTTTAAAAAATATGTATAATGTTTTGTTAAAAATTAAACATATATTATATTAAATAAATATATATAAAATTTAAATTTTACTAATTAATTTATATTAAATATAAAAATATAAAAAATATAAATAATAATATAATAAAATATATATATAATAAAATAATAATAATAATAATAATAATAATAATAATAATAATAATAATAATAATAATAATAAATTTAAATATTATAATTTTCATTAATAAATAATAATATACAAATGTCAAATTTAGGTAGAAAAACAATATTTTGTTCTGAAAACCCTTATAAAACGTTTAATCCTCCTAAGCATATTTTAAAAAAAAGCTTTTGTCAGATAAAACTATAATCTGATAATAACTTATAAAAATAACAATTATTTTAATAATAATAATAAAAAATAAGTTAAAAAAAAAGATATGAAACTCCTAATAATAATTAATAAAATTAAGAAATAAGAAGAGGGAAAAAATAGTTTTCCTAACATAATTAATAATATTTAAAATCCTAACCAAGCGATAATCAATCGGCAAAAAGAAATTTTAAAAATCATAATTAAGAAACTAAAATTGACAATGAAAAATAAATTAAATAAAGACCTTTAAATTATTTAAATTCTAAAAATATTTTCAGATTATTTAATTAAAATGATAACATTGTTAATAGCAAATAAATAAGTTAAAGATTTAATCATCCATCAAATATTAATTATAGCTTTTGTTTAGATAAAATAAAATGATTTTTATTATAAATATTAAATTCGAATATAAAAATAACAAATAAATTTTATATATTATAATTTTAATAAAATAAATATTATTGTTATGTAATTATTTAATATTATTAAAAATGGATAATCCTATTTTTATTTTTAAATTTTTTTAATATTTTTTATAATAAAGTAATATAATATAAATTATCTTTTTATAATATTTTAAAAATGTTTAAATAAAAATTGAATATATATTTATTTTTATGAAATTTATCAAAAAATTAATTATTTTATAATTAAAAATGTATACAATAAAAATTCCCTTTTATATAAATTTATTTTAACTAATATTTATAAATATTTTTTTTATTATTTTTTAATTTAAAAATATTTAGAGAATCTTTTTTTTTTATATAAAAATTAATATTCTTATTTATTAATTTAAAATAATTAGATTTTTCTAACTTATTTTAAATTTAGAATTTTGCTATCATAAAAGAAAAAATATTTAAAATAAAAATGATTAACTTTTTTTAACTATAATCATATATTTAGAATAAAAATAAAAAAACCTTACAAAATTAAAAAATTGTTAAAAAAAAATAAATTAAAAAAATAAATATTATGATGATAGTTCAAAAATATCAATTTATTTTATATTTAAATATAATAATTTATAAATTTAAATTATATTATTTTATAATATATAAATAATTTTGTTTTTTTAAGAAATAAATAAATATAAAAAGTATATTTTTTTTTTTTTTTTTGTATAATCTCAAATAAAAAATTATAAAAAATACAAATTGACGGAATAATATATTACAAAATTAAAAATATTAAACTATTAATAATTAGATAAATTAAAAACGAAAAAGATAAAAAAAAAAATAATTAAAAAAGAACAACCATAATTCAATAAAATAAAACTAATATGGAGAAAAAAGAAAAGATTAAAATTGAGTTAGCTATCCAAAAAGACCCGTAATTAAAAATGCCATTAAAAGAAGATAGAAATATTGATAATTAATTTGATTATATCGATTCTGAAAGTAACAATTTAATCCAAAAAAAGAATGAAATAATCAAGATAAATTTAATCGACGAAAACTAACATAAAAAGTTAACATTATTTCAATTAAATGACCTTCAATCTAAATAAAAAACTCCTAAAAGTAAAAGCGATGAAAAATTAAGTGAAATAAAATAAATATTATAAGAATAAGAATAAATATTATAATAATAAAAAAACTTATTATAATCATAAAATGAACCTATATAACGTGATCTTTTTTCCGATGCTGCGAAAAAGTTCATTTAAAATATTGATGCTGATTTAATAAACGCATAAGATAATTCGAAAATGCATGGAATTTTTCGAAAAATTATAATTAGTATAAGAATATAGAAAGTAAAAGATGCTTTAATATAACTTTTATCCTCAAGAAAATACCAAAACTATCAAAAAAATGATGTTTATAAACATATTATTAATGATAATTTAATTATATAGGAAGAAGAAAAAGAAAATGTTATTTTTTCATATATAGAGAATAAAATTAGTATTTTTTTACCTTCATCTAATTAAATTATAATGTGGGATTTTTTCATTTTTCTTTTAGTTATTTTACTCATTATTATTATTCCATTAATTATTGGAGTTAATATTCAAAGTTAACTTATTTTTTTGGAAGTTAATTTGTTCTTTTTCATATTTTTTTTTCTTATTATTGATGTTTTTGTATGTTTAAATACAGCTTATTTTTAATTTGGGAAGTTTATTTATAATAGATAAGAAATATGGAACTTATATAAGAAAAAAGGTAAATATAATATTATTATTTTAAATAAACAAATATAAATTTTCATTTTTGAAACTATAAATCTATTCAAATATTTAATTTTTTTTTTATATATATAACATTAAAAAACAAGACCTATATTATGATTTTATAGGATTAGGTTGCTTAGTAATCGGATAATACATAAATTAATTTTTTTTTTTCTTTTTTTTTGTAAAGATCTATAAAATAACTGCTTTTTTTAAAAAAATAGAAATGCGTTTTGATTTCTCAGCTAAGGCTTAATAAATAATAGGACTAATATCTTTACTTTTTAAAAACATATATATAATTCATACTACATCATGTCTATGGGTATATATTGGTAGATATTAGTAATATTCTTGGCTTCATAAATATGAACTTATGTTTGAAAATTGGTATATTTAATATTTAAATTCTTTTTATTTTAATACTGTTACTATGGTAACAGTTGGTTATGGGGATATTTCTCCTTAAACAGATCTTGAAAAATTGATTTAAATTATTATTATGTTTATTGTTTGTGGAGTTTTTGCCTATTCAATAAATGAAGTAATCTTTTATTTTTAAAAAATACATATATTTTAATAAATATTTGAGGTTGGTAATATTTTTTAAGAAATGAGAAATTAGTTTAAATAAATAAAAAATGATATAAATACTATGAATGGATATATGAGAAAAAAAAAAATCGAAAGTAATCTATAATATAAAATAAGATAATATTTAGAATATTATTGGAGAAATAATGGTTACTATAATTACGAAAATGAATAAGTTATAGTAAATTAGCTTTCTAAAGATTTAAAAAGAAGACTAATATAAGATGCAAATAAAATAGTGATAAATTCAAACATTTTTAAGAAAAATTTCTCAAGTTTTTTACTAGAAAAAATGCCTTATATTATATAAGAAATTAAATATGCGCCAGAAGAGCTTATTTTTGAAAAAAACGAAAATTTAGATCATTCAATTTATTTTATATAGTAAGGATCTGTAACTATATGTACACTTGATTAAAAAAAATAAAAATTATAAACACTTTTTGAATTAAAAAAAGGCGATTATTTTGGTATATTTATATTTTTTTTTCAATTTTAAAAAATAAAATATATATTAAAATAAAAGGAGATATAGAATTTTTTTCTGGTCAATAAAGAAAATATAGTGCAAAAAGTTGCGAATTTACTGTTCTTTTAAGAATATAAAGAAATTAATTTCTAGAAATATTAAAATAATTTGATATAGACTTTGAAAAATTTAGTGAAATAAAAGATATATTAATACAATAATAAATAAAAAAAATACATAAATACTTAGAAATAGAATGTTTTTTTTGTAACAAAAGCCAAAACAAAAATGAATAAAAAATGCATTTTCATAATGAATGTCCGATTGTTTAATAAATATTTAGGAAAAACTTCATAATATAAAGGCATAAATACGATATTGGTTAAAAAGAAAGAGGATAATATGCTAGAATTACTAATAATTTTTAAACGTTAAGAAGAATTTAATAGGTAGAAGGTGACGTACAAAAATTCAAATTTAATAATGAGGAAATAATAGAAAATTATGAAGGATAAAAAAGTATAACAGATAATATATCAGAAAATCTATCAAATAAATCTTTGAATAATATATATTAAAATTATGATAATAATAATAATAATAATAATAATAATAATAATAATAATAATATAATATGATTTAAAATAGTTAAACTTCTCTAGCTTCAAGTTTTTAAACAAATACTTCTTTCGGAAGACTCAAAAAAAGTAAAAGACTTTCTCAATTTGCAAATTCAATCAAAAAAATACCGAAAACCTAAATCATGTTTCACTATTAGAAAATATAAAGAATAGTAATCTTCTGTATCTTGTTCTTCCTCTTCTTCTTATATTTCATATTATGAATCTTCTTCCTAATCTTCATAATGTTCAAGTATTTTAGAAAAAAAAAGAAAAAAAAACAAGTCTTCTTAAATAATAGAAAAAAATACATTATTAATTCCTAAAATAAACTTTTAAAAATAAAGACATTCAACTGAAAATCCTACCCATATGAAATATATTAATATAGAGAAATAAACGTAATCTCCAAGAAGACATTCTGATAATCCAAAAAAAGAATAAAAATAATCTGTTTTTAAAAGAAAACAATAAAAAAACTTTTTTTAAAAAAAATAAAAAGAAATTTAAAAAGAAACAAAAGAAATAATTGAAAAAAATTAAAAAAAATAAAAAATATATACTAGAAATAGAAAAAAAGGAATTCTAGAAATCGAAAAAAATATTGATCATAAATTCGAAACATTTAATGAAAAATTATAAACTATGCAAAATGCTTTGATAAAGTAACATCATAATAATATTTAAAATTAAGGGTAATAAATAAGAAAAAATTCATATTCTAATTCAGAATTCGAAAAAATGAAATGCTTCTAAGCATATTTTAATGAAGGAAATTATGATAAAATACTCAAAAATATGAAGTTAAAAAGAAAAACAGTATAATAAATCAAAATATAACCGAAAGCAAACCTTTTTTTGCAAAGAATTAAATAAAAATTATCATTTTAATAAAAAATGTCATTAAGTAATTATAATAGTCATTGTAAAAATACTTAATTAGAAAATTTTAAAAAATTAAGTAGTTTAGATTTCATAGAACATAATTCCAAATAACCTTTCATAATAAATAGTAAATTAATTATAAACCCTTAATTAGTTCTTATAAATAATAATAAGTATAATATAAATAATAATAATAATAATAATAATAATAATAATAATACAAATAATAAAAATAGTAATAATTTATAATAATAAACACAAGAAGATTATTTACATAATTTAAGTAATTCATAAAGACCAAGAATTTTAAGAAGCAAATTTTTTATTAATGCTATATCTAAAGAAACATAATGATAATAGAAATTTTTATTTTATATAAAAAATAATAAAATATATTTTTTTCAAATATATAATTATATAAATGTTCTTTTAATAATAAAATATAATTGAATATAAAAAAAATTAAAATTTAAAAAGATAAAATATTGAAAAAAAAGCAATGTAACACGGTCGAAAAAAGAAAGATTAAATCCCTCTTACATAAGAACAAATTGCAAAAAACAATGAATAAGCAGATCGAATAACTCAAACAATTTAAGAATTTCTACAAGTAAGACACAATCCTTAATAAAAATTATCCTAAACCTCTTTTCAAATAACAGAATTAATATCAGAAATGTGTTCTGATCTTCCCACAATATACAATTTTAAACGAGAACTATTACTTGCGAATTATCTAACGAAAGAAACTTTTGAAACTGAACAAAAAATAAAAGTACTATAATAAGATTTATTAAAAACAACTCTCTTACTAAAAAAAAGCCCTAAAAGTTATTCTATATGGAGTTATAGATAATGGTTAGTTTTAGAAATAAAAAAACAAGAGGAAAAGATGTAATAAAAGATAGAAAATCCAGTAATAGAATAAGAACTTAAGCTATGTTAAAAAATGCTTTAAATAGACTAGAGGAATTTCCATTGTTGGAATTACCGAAATTGGTTAATAAATGATGTGGAGAAGAATAAAATAGAATATATTGAAAAAGAACTAAAATTTACAAAGGAAAAATACGAAAATGACTTTTCGAATTTCAGCGCGCTTCATTTTCGATAGAAAAATTTGATTAAAAAATATTCTAAAAAAAATGAGAATTTTTATATTTTACCAGATTAAATTATTAAAGAGGAATTCGAAATAATCAAAAATGCTATTTTTATGTAACCAAATGAATAGGGAATTTGGCTTTATCATAAATGGCTTGTTAATTTAATAATTCCATTTAGATTTATATATGCTTTCTATAAATTAAATGAACTTTTTTTGGTGTCTTCTTGTAAAATTTAGGTCTAGAATATTAAAGAAAGTGTAGTTTTAATTGATTTTAATAACAAAAATATAGAAAATTTATAAATAAAGGAAGTTTAAAATCTCTAAAATGATATAGGTTAGGTATTTTTAATCAAGTGTGAATAAAGAGTGAAATAAATAGATATTTAAAGCGGAAAAATAACAGAAATTTTGCAAAAAAAAGCAAATCTAATACCTTCGAAATTCATTTGGGATGAAAAAAATGAAAAATTTATTTTATAAGAAGATAAATTAGATTAATAAAATAATTTTTCTTTGGCAATTTTAGAGGAGGAAATTTAATTTGTAGAAGATATTTTGAAAGATAATTCAGAAGAAAATCATAAATTTGCATAATTTTAAAAAATATATTTACTTTAAAGTTTGATTTAAATAAAAATAGTATACAAATTATATACTAGTTTAAAAGATATTATTTATATAATAAAAAATGTATTAAATATTATAGAAAAATTAGAAATTTTAGATGTTTAAAAGCACAATTATTTAAAAAATTTAAAAAAATAATTTAATATAATTACGGACATATTAGAAGGTAAAAATATTGATGATTAAAATATAATATAAAATTTCGAAACAGATTTTTTAGTTTGTACAAAATATTTAGTTTAGAAATAATAATGATAATATAATATTAATAATAATAATAATAATAATAATAATAATAATATTTGTGATTTTATTTTTTAAAAATTTTTAAGATATTTATTTAATTTTATTTTATTTTATTTTTATTTTATTTTATATTTCTTTCTTTTCTTTATATTTTTTTAATAAAATAAATAAATGCAATTTAAAGATTTTTTAATTAATAATAAGATATGTATTAAAATATATAATTAATTTTATAAAAAATAAATAAAAATAATAATAAATATAAGAAATAATAAAAAATATTATAATAAAACACACCATTATATTTTTAATAAATAAAAAATAAAAAAAAAAAAAAACTATAATTATTATTAAAAATTATAGTTTTTTTTTTTATAAAAAAGTAATCATTTTTTCATGTATCATCTTCTTCTAATTCAATTTAACCTAAAAAAATAAAAATATTAAAAGTATCTTAATTAATAAATATAAAATATATTACTATTTTATTAATTTTCTTAAGAAGGATTAGAATCTATTTAGTTATTATTACTATTATTAAGAAGCTAATTACTATTTTATTAGTAATTATTATCTTAAATAGTTACTTCTTAACTATCTAAGTCTTAATTTTCGTCCAACATACCGAATTAACTATTATCTTCATTAAATTCATTATTTTGCAAATCATTTAACTAATCAGAATATTTATCTTAAAAAGTTTTAAAAGGAGAAATTTTATCACTATCGAAATAAATTTAATAATATCCATTATTATTTAATTCATTTCTAATTACTTATTATGCTTATATACACCTTCTAATAATATCAACTTATGTAATTTAAATTGTTTTCCATTCATTTTCTTTATCATCGCTTTATATATTTAAAAAAAAATATAAAAATATAAAAAATATGTAAATTAACAAATAATCCAATTTTTAGTTTTCTTAGAATTAAAATTCTGACATATTATCATCAGAATCAAAAGATTTATCATTCATTAAAGATTAATAATCATTATCTTTTATTATTTTTAATTATTTTAATTTCCAACTTCTTAGACTTTAATATTCTTCTTAACTTTTAGGAAGTTTAATATTATGATATAACAAAGGTATTTTTTCACTTAGTTATTTCTATTATGTTTATATATATATATAAATATATATAAAAATGTATAAAAAAATTTATATATAAAAAAAAATATATTTAAAACATATAAAAAAATAATATATTATATATAAATAAATATGTATAAAAAATATATATAAAAATAAAAAATATATATATATATAAATATATATATATATAAATATATTTTATAAATATATATATTTACTATTTTTATTCTATAAATTATGTACTCATCAATGTTTATTTTTCTATATTTTTTATAAATTAGCACCATAAATTAATATTTTAACTCATCCAATTAACTATTTATTTATTTCTCATGCACATCCTAATTAAGTATTATATTGAAATATCACTTTCATAGAAAAATTATTTATTTTCAATAATTGATTTAAATAAGTTTTTCATTCCAAAATCAATCTTTATTTAAATTATACAAAATTAATTTATTTATAAATATTAAATAATAAATTAAAATAAAAGTAAATAAAATGATATAAATAATATTAAGAAATATATATACTCTATCATTCTAAAGTTAATCTTTAATTAAAAATTATTTCTTTAAACATGCAAAGTAACCCCTATATTCATGACATTGTTTATCTTTAATTGCCATAGCACATGCATTAATAACATTCTACGATAAGTTTTTATCTTCAAAGCATAAATATTCTAAAATCTAATTCACAGCTTTATAAGATCCTTTTTCTTTACAATCATCTATCATTTACAATATGCTTTATTAATCTTTATAAATATGACTAATATCATCTTTTTAACTATTATTATATAAATTAATATTTTTAGAAAATATACATTATATTTATATATAATATAATATATATTTTAATTACAAATTATAATTTAAATATCCAATTTTAAATGGATTTTTTGGCATAGAATTACAACTCTTAATAAGTAAACTTAGTGTTTACCACAAATACTACTTACTTAAATTAAAATTTTAAAATTATTTATCTTATTTAATTCTATTTTATTATTTCTTTATTTCATCTTTAGAAGGATAACCAATAAGATGTTAATTAGAATATTCCTAATATTTTAAATCTGAATTATCTCTTTAATAATTCCCTTAAGAAGACCCAGACGCTTTTGTTTTTTTACCAAAAAAAAATACAAAATCAATTAATCTAGTAATTACTTATTTTTCCAAATAATAACTAACCACAAAAGGCCCAAATTAGCTTAATCTATAAATAAGTTCGAAAAAATCATTATATTCATTTGCATTTTATATACAACATAAAAGAGAATTTAATAAATTCTCAAAAAGTGTTTTTGGAATAGCTGTATGATCTATGTTTTCTATAGATAATTTTGAAGATTCTAAATTATATACTTACAAAGCAGCTTATTCTAATATTATTATTATATCTTTTTTTATTTACTAACAATTACCCATTAAAATTTCCTTTATTATTACTGGATCACTAAATGCACATATTAACCATTAACAAGTAGGTATATTCTAAATATATATATATATAAATATATAATATATATATATATAAATATAAATATATATAATATAAATATATAATTATTCATTTATAAAAATAAATTTTTATTTTTTATTTTTTTATATAAGTTTTTATATATATGTACAATAATTTTTATTTATATGTTTATATAATACTTTTTAAATAGCCTAAGTTATAAATTTAAAGTATAAATAAATATCATTTTTAGATTTTTCCCTTATAAGAGTAGTAAAGAAATACCTTAGGCAAAATTTGATTATTTCAAAATCGAAATAATGCTTTGAATTTTTTTCCATAATAAAAGGATATTATATTGGAATTAAATTACTATCAATATTATAATCAATAATAATATTAGACATAAACTTCATAAATTCTTTACTAAAAATAATCTTATGTAAATGGAAAAATTTATTCTATTCTAAAAGTTCCTATTTAAAATTACCACAATAAGTTTCCCAATATTAATCTTCTTTTTCGTTTTCTACATCAAGTTCATTTTCTTTGATTTCTTCTTATTATTATTCGTTATTTTCTTTTTTTTGATTTCCACTTTTTTTTTCACTTGGGAAAATTTCAACTTTATCATAAAAAAGTAGATAAGCGTTTCTTATTTTCTATCTATAATTAATATTATCGCCAGCACATTAATATTTCCATTTCTCCTATCCTCCAAAAGCTTCATTAGGAATATTTTTTGGGTCAAAAGGTCTTACTATATTATCATTGAATTCCATCCATCTATTTTCACCTTCCTGATCTCTTTCTTTTATATATGAATAATAATGCCCAGAATCAGCTATTCCCATATGTATTACTACACCATTTAATCTATATTTAAAATAATTTTCTGGAAATTCTTATTCATCTTTATTATATTCTCTTTGTTCTTAATTTTATGTTTTTTATTCCTATATAGGTATTATTATTATTATTATATATAATAAATATTTAATAAATTACTATTTTTCGTAATCCTTGTTAAGAAAATTCATATAAATCAATTTCTTCAGGAAATTCACAAAGTTCATTTATTTTGACTTTTTACATTGTATCAAAATTGAATTCGAATCTTTTCAAAACCATAATTAAATGATTAGGAAGTCTTTTCAAACACATTCTTTTCAAAGCATTTACCTTTTAAAAAATTATATATATTTTTTTATATGTATATAACTTTTATATAATTTATTTTTTTATGTAATAATATATTAAAAATTATAATAAAATATGCTAATAAGATAGAATTTTTTGATTAATTATTTTAGTTTAAATAAAAAATATAAATAAAAAAAATTTAAAAAATAATTTATATAAATATAAAAATTTATATATAAAATTGAATATATATATAGATATAATTATTATTATATATTTTTAAAATATTTTAATACTTTTTTTCCACATTTTTCGCAATGATAAGCATTATCTCCTTCTAACATTTCCCCTTATATTAAAGACTCTAGACTTTATTTAATATTTTTTTTATTTTTAACCTCTAAAGATAGACTAAGGAATGGTTCTTCCTATTCAGAATAATGTTAACAATCTTTAGATATAATTTCATTAGATAAGACACCTCCAAAATGTTATTAAATTGCATTTTAATGTTTAGTATTTTTCATTTAATTTTCAATTTTTTCCATAAAAACATTAAAAAATTCATCTACATCCATCTATTCATAAACATTGGTCGGATTTCCATCAAAATCCTTAAAAGCATTGCAAAACAATTTCGGGTTATAAGCTTCTTTATCACTATATGTAAGAGCAGTGAAAATGCATTTTAATTAAAAAAGTAAATTTTCTTCATTTTCAGTTTTGCCAAATTCTTTATCTTTACAATTTAAAATAGCTTACCTATAAGAAGGAATCATATAAAACTATTAAAGTAACGAATTCATATAACAAACTTTAGTTAAAAAAAATAAATAAAATAATATAAATATATATATATATATATATATATATATATATATATATATTTATATATATATATATATACTGCATCCTAAATTTTTCAATCCAACATATCCAGTAGGTGATTTTTCATTAAATTTAGGTATAATATTCCAATCTCTACTATTTTTGGTTCTCCAATCTCCATTTACAATAAGTGGAGTAATAAAATCAACAATTTTCATTAAAATCTCATTACAGCTTTTTGCAAAAGTATATAATAAATCAAATGCTTATTATCTACTTTCTGAGTTTTTACATTTTGGTCCTTTCATTTTTTTATTATTTTCGTTTTCGGCTGCCGAAGGAATTTCAAAATTAAAATTAATTAAAATTTATACAAAATTATATTATTCGTCTAACTCTAATTTCTTATTGCCATAAATATTAATCAAACGCCTCAAAATACCTAAAATACCAATTAATATATCATCTTTTTCATTCTTAGATCTTTCTAGTGTTTCCCTATTTATAATATAGGAAATTAATTAGTGTTAAAGGACTATATAATTCAAATTAAAGATTTCTTTTTATTAATATTCTAAAATATCTTAACATAATTAAAAGAAAGGGCTTGTTCTTTCTTTGAAATTTCCATAAAACTTACTATTATTGACTATACTGGGTAGTATTTTTTCAAATAATAAAGGCATAAGTAATAATACATTACTTTTTTCTTCAATTTTAATCGAGAAATATGAAAATATATTCAAAATAGCCTACTAAAATAAAACATTATCGATTTCAGTTAAACCTTTTATACATATATCTTCAAAAAGTTTACATTCAAAAAGTTTTTGGAACAAGCTTTTATTTTCCTATTGCATTTTTTACATTATAAAAAAAACATTTTCAACTACTTATTTTTCTACCTAGAAAAATTCAGGGACTTTAACTTCTTTTATTAAGCTCATGCTATTATAATTTACATTATTATTTTTATTTTACATATAATTATTGCTGTTATTAAAATTATTATTACTACCATTATTATTATTATTATTATTATTATTATTATTATTATTATTATTATTACTATTATTATTATTATTCATTTAATATTATTATTGTCTTTAAAATTAATATTTTTGATTTTCCCAATTTTATTTTTCTTAAGCACAATTTTCCAAGTCATTTTATTCTCTCAATTTACAATATTCACATATACACAAAATGCATTGAATTAATTTGTTTAAAAGTGCTTATTATTAGTCCGCTGGTTTATTTTCTCTAAATAATGTTTAAAATGTGATATCTGTGCATTATAAATAATATTGTATTATTTGTATTAATTTTGACACAAATTTTTTTGATAATGCACTTTTTATTATAGTCATATCAAGATATATTAATTCCTATATAAGACTATTTAAACCTTTATTATTTATGAATTTTTCTTACCTTTTATAAATAAAATTTTTTTTAAATATATATATATATATATATAAATAAAAACCATTATATGTATTATCTATTTGACGATAATTCTTCGATAATATTCAAACAATATAGCTTTTTATGAAACGTTCCTTTAAATATTTACTACCAAGGTTAATCTATGCATTAAATACTTTATTTTATATGTTCATTTAAAGGTAATTTCATTAATAAATCCCATAGATTATTATGACATTCCTCTAAAAAAAATAAAATAAATAATTAAAAATATACATAAATAATATATATTCATTATATATATATATATATATATATATATATATATATATATATATATTTATAAACCTGAAGCGAAATTCTTTGATAGAATATCAAATAATAAATCAAAATATTTAATATTTTAATAGATGTGATTTTTTGGGTGATAATTAGCTTCTTCATCAGAAATAGGCTTTCTTCTTACAATAAAATTAGTACTTAATTGATATTTTTTAAGTGTCTATTCATCATCATCATTATCTACAATTTCTTATTTATTTTTACATTAAAGTACTAAAGCATTAATTGGAATTCCGAATTCTTTACTAACTTTTTACTTTATAATTGAAAAAGGATAATTAATATTAATTCTTAATTCTTTTTTAACATTATCTGGAATTAAAGTAAACGATACATTCAAAAACCCAGATTAATATTAAACTTATTATTATAAATTAAACTCATTTTCTAAATTAACTCCTTCATATTTATCGAAGAAAATCATCAATAATTTAACTGTTTTATCAACTAAAAATGCCTAAGTTTCATTATACCCTTTATTAATTAAATCCATGCATCTTTCTGTGAATTCTTTCATATAATTTTACTTAAACTCTAATTATTTATTATTTATATGTCTCATATATATATCCGTAAGTAAATCCGAAGCACCTGCGACCACATTTTTATTCGTATTTTAAATAAAAATCTACCAAACACATTCTTTTCCGATTAAATTATTTGAAATAATTATAAATTTTCTAGGATTAACAATAGAAACATCAATATTTTTATGTTTTGAATTATATGTTTTAAAGAAAATATAGAAAATATTATATAATTCAATACTCATAGTATAATAATTAATTTTGGTATTATCAGAGAATATATTAATAAAAATATGCTAAATAAGTTCTTTTTTAAATATAGGAGAAATCCTTAAACTATCATACTAAACTGAGCTCTAAATAACACTCTAGCTTCCTTTCAATGAACTCTTAGTAATCCATTCAAAGAAAAGAATAGTTTCTTATTAATTATTAGCATTATTAACAAATAATTCCCATAAACAATCAAATTCCGTATTTTATAATTTTACTACTTTTTTAAAATGCGATACTATTTTTTCTAATAATTTAAGTCTTATAAATATATTTTTCTCATGAGAATGTTTTCCTTTAAGAATTTATTAAATAAAAAACTAATTATTTTATATCTATTATTATTATTATTATTAAAAATTATTTCTATTTTCCTTAAAGCAAATACTTTTCATATAACTCTTCAAATTCTTAATAATAACACCTACGATATTATATTTCTCTTACATTTCCCCTAATATACTCTCTGTATTTTAACAATAATACCCTTTAATGATTCCGTCCAAAACACAACAAGCTTAATAGCAATTTTTTTCTTCAATTAACAATTCTAGACATTATTTGACATATTTTTTTAATACAAAACCTGCTTTTCCATTTTCAAGCATTTCTTAAAAAACACTCAAAGAACAATCTAATAAATTACTATTTAAATGTTCTTCTTATAGATATTTCCAAACAATTTCCATACAATATAATTTATTCTCGTCTTAATTTTAAATATCAATTTCGTCTTCGTATATATTATTATTTTATAAGCAAGGGAATACTATATCTATTGAATTTTTGAAAAAACCTCTCATTAATTACAGTGCAAGTTCATTTATTTCATTTAAAGGAATTTATTAAATCTTCAAATGCATCAAATCTAGGGCTTTTACGCTTAATTGATCAGTAATCTATATAATTAAATCATAAATAGCACTAATAATAGCCTCATGTTTATCCACAGCACATTATTTCCATATAGTTTCGATTAAATCTAGTTAAAAAACTTATTATTATTTACACATAAACCGTATAATTTCATGACATCTTCTAATAATTTCGACATGTAAAGAATTTCCAATTAAAAACTCAACTATATTCTTTTAAACGAGATAATTTATTAATTCTTAACTATTTATTTTCCTATAATTTAATATTTATTATTAATTTTATTATTAATTTTATATCATATATTATTATTATTAATCTTCATTTATTTTTTCATTGTATTTTACATCTTCTACAATTTCGTTAATATCATTTAAACCTTAAATTTTCTTATTTAAATATTAAGAACTTAATAATTTTAAAGCCAAATCCAATTCCATGAAATCAATTACTTTAAAATACTAATCTTCAAATGAGCAAAAATCTAACAATTTTTGTAAAGTTTCTTTTATTTCTTTTATTATTTATTAATCATATTCCTTTATTTCTTTCTAAGATATTAGATTAAACCTTTAAACAGTAAAATTTATAAGTCTTTCAATCAAATTCTTCATATATTGACTATTTAAACCCTGTAAAGCATAATATATTATTTAAATTATTTAATTTAAAGCTTCCAATGGTATTTGTTTATTTTCATTTGTAATTATGTTCAAAATTGCTTCAAGTCCACCTTTACCCCAGAAATAAGAACTAAATATAGGTATAATTTCTTCTTAAAGTTTTTTCCTTAATTAATCTTTATAACATTATTTAACAAATTAATTATTTTCATCTTACATTTCTTCTTCATTTTCTAAAAAAGTTGAACTTTTTATTTTAATATTGTTAATATTTTCTAATTTTTGTAAAATTTTATTTTTATTTTCTTTGATTAATCTCCATTAAGTCTAATTATATTTATAAATAATATATATATATATATATATATATATTATATATATATATATTTTTACATAATAAAAGCAACATTAATTTAATAATAAACGATCGACTTATCCAAATATATATAATATAATTTAAAAAATTTCATAAAATGAATAGGCTAAAGCTACTTCTATATTGTTAAATTATGTATCAGGATTAGTTTAACCTAATTAGTACTTTTTTTATTATAAAAATATATATTATCAATTATTAATTTAAATATTATTTATATTATAATTAATTAAATGAAAATATTATTTTTATTTTTATTCAAATATAATTTTATCATTAATAAAAAAATAAATATCATTATATATTATAATAATAAAATTTATTATTATTTTTTTTTTTGTTACGTTATTATAATAAGAAGGAAAATTCATTAAAAATTAAATAGTTATTTCAATATGGCTTAAAATACTAGTAACACTGATAGTAAAATAAGCATTATTATCTTAAAAAGAATTTAATTATAATAATTAATCTATAGAACATAAATATTTTCCTCTAACCAATTAATTAAATTAAAAAGCAGTCATTTATGAAGGGTCATTACTTTTAAAAAAATAATTTACATCACTAATAATCTTTATTTTTTAAAAATTTAAAAATAGCATTATTATTTAAATATATACCTATTGAATTTCTTAAGGATTTCTATTATTTCTTACAGCATTTCCTCTATGACCAGTATATCCTTTAATTTATAAAAATTAAATATATTTAAGAAATAAGAAATATTAAAAAAAAACATATTTAAAAATAAATAAAAATTATTTATATAAATAAATAAAATATATATATATATATTTATATATAAATATTTCTCTATTTTCTATATAATTATCTATAATATTTATTATAATTATTTATTATTTAAACATAAAATAATAAATCTTATATCACAAAAAATCTTTTAATTAAATTATTTTTTTAATTACCTTTTGTATTTTTTCTAAAATGAGCTAATTTATTACTATTAAATGAATAAGTCTATATAATATTAATAAAAAAATTGATAAAAAATTATTAATATTATATAAAGAAATTAGATTATATAAGTTAAAAATTTTATAAATATATAAATAAATTATTTTTTTCTATATAAATTATATTATTAATTTTTTGTTTTTGTACTTCATCCCATCTACTAACCCATCCATCATATGTCACTGTTACTTTTTATATATATTTATTGACATTAATTATTTATCCAACTCGCCATTCGCCTTATGAATCTTTAGCATCAATATATAAATCTTTTTATAAATAATTCAAAATTTAAATCTTTTCATCCTTTTTTAAAATTTTTAATAATTATTATAATTAGAAAGTTTATATTTCTTTTTTTTTTTTTACCTTTTATTATTGTTAATTTTATTTGTCTAACTCCTGCTGTTTATTATCTTAGTTTTATTCAATATTCATTATTTTTAAAAATTCTATTTTTATATTATTAATTTATTTTTTATAAGATTTTTTTTTTTTTTTTTTTCTAATATATATTTAATATTTTTTTTTTTCCTTTTAAAATAAATAATCTATTTATACATTTAATATATTTTATTTATAAAATTTTTTTATTACCAAGAATTAATATAATATTATATAATTTATCTTTATTTAAATAAATTAATTTTAAAAAATTATATATGTATCTTAAAAAGATGAAGAAAATAAAACTATTGTATTTAACAAATATTTATATTTTATTAATTTATAAATTTATTAATAAAAATTTACAATAAAAACTTATAATTTAATTTTATTTTTAAAATTTTTTTTCTTTATATATAAGAAATTAAATATCTATAATAATAAAAATACTAAAAAAATATTATTGATGATTCTTTATGAAATAATAAAATAAGTATATAGATTTATATAGATATATATAAATGTATATAAATATATAGATATATAAAGATATACATAAATATAAATATATATAGATACATATAAAAATAGATATATATAGATATATATAGATATATATAGATATATATAGATATATATAGATATATATAAATATATATATATATATATATATATATTGATATATATTTATAACAATTTGTTATTTAAATTCAATATATAATTTTTATAAATTTTTATCTTAATCTTCAAAAAATATTAAATCTGTTAAAAATTACTAAAGAAAAAAAATATATTTATTAGTTTTATTCATTTTATAGATATATTTATATAACAAACATTAAATATAATTAAAATTAATAAATATTTTATAAAAATACAAACAATATTTGTTCATAATTAAAAATATTAAACATATATTTGTATATTTTATTAATATTATATATACTATTTTATAAAAAATATTTAAATTTTATATTCTAATTAGTAAAATAAGTCAAATAAAATGTTAATAAATAAACTAAGGATTTTCTATTAAAAATTTAGTTTTTGAATGCATATAATATTTTAAATTTTTAATACATATTCTTTTATTATTTAAACTATATTTATAAATTATAAAACACTATTTTTTATTTTTTAAAAAATTAATAATTTATTTTTATTCAATTTTTAAATAATATAATTATTATAATTAATTCAAAGTTTTATTTGTATATATCAAATACACAATATATATAGAAACTATATATAATTTATTTTTATATTTATAATTGATTATAATTTTTTTGTTTTAATATATAAAAATATTTTTATAATTTTCATTTTTTATTCAATATAATTAATGTTTATTTGTTTATTATTAAAACTTACTATAAAAAATAAATGATTAAAATAAAAAATACTTTTAAAAAACTAATTTTTTTATAAAATTATCAAAATATTAATATCTTTAATTTTAATAAAAATATTTTAATATGAATTTAACAAAATAAAAATTATTCTAACAAAATATTAAAAAAATGAATGTAAAAAATAAAAACAAATAATAATATTTTAAATCTATACAAAAAATAAGATATCTTTTGAAGGATGTTTTCATGGAAATTTAGAAGAAGTATATAAAACTATGTAATATATAGAAAAGGAAAATAACATAAAATTAGATGCATTAATAAGTTGTGGTGATTTTCAAGCAATAAGAAATACAGAAGATATGTATTCAATGAAATGCCCCGAAAAATATTTAAAAATCGGAAATTTTTATTAATATTATTCTGGTTAAAAAAAGGCTCCATACCTAACCATATTTATAGGAGGCAATCATGAAGCCTCAAATCACAGCCGTGAATTATATTTTGGAGGCTGGGTAGCTCCTAATATATATTATATGGGCTAAAGTAATATAATAATTCTAAAAAAAGGCTAAAATTAAATCCGTTTAGGTGGGATTTCAGGTATTTATAAAAAATTTGACTTTTTAAATAGCAAAACTGAAAAATTTCCCTTTGATAATAATTCTATAGTATCATGTTTTCATTAAAAATAATTAGATGTATTAAAATTGAACCTTTATTAGAAAAAAATAGACGTTTTTATATCCCATGACTGGCCTACTTAAATATATAATTATGGAAATGCAAAGGAATTAATTTATAGAAAAAACATTTTAAAGATGAAATATATTCAAATACATTAGGATCTCCTCCTTTATTATATTTACTTTAAAATTTAAAACCGTAAATAAATTATATACATATATAATTAATATTTTATTCTATTATAAAAATAATTAAAAGAAATTTTTGGATTTCAGGACATCTACATTGCAAATTTGCGGCTATTTTTCCACACCAAAATAATGGAGAATATACCAAATTTTTGGCTTTAGATAAATGCTTACCTGGTAAAGATTTCCTTTAAGTTCTTAGTTTTGGAGATTCTAATATAGATGATTAAGAAAGCAGCTAAATTGAAATGTTTTACGATTAAGATTGGTTAGTTATTAATAAATATACTGCAGAATATATTTAGTTGAATAAATTATAAGATTTTTATGATATTTAACATAATAATAATAAGTAATTTTTTTTATTTGGTTTATAATAATTATGCATATTTTTATTTTTATTTTTGTTTAATTATTTAAAGAATAAATCTCAAAAATAATTAAGTTTTTGATTAATTGAGAAAAAATATAGAAAGCAATAATTTTTTTGAGAATAAAGAACTTAAAATTCCAAACAATTTTAAAATTATTACGTAACCTTATGTAGAAAATGAAAATAAAGATTAAAGAATATATAAAGCTTAAGAAAATTTAGAATTAAATAATTAAACTAAATAATACTTAGAACTATTAGAAGTTGACATTAAATAATTTAATAATATATTATTTTATAATGATAAAAGTATTTTTTTATTATTATAAAAAAAACAATTATTTACATTTTTTTTTTTTGAAAAAAATAAATAAATAAAAGGTGACTTTTAAGTAAATTTGTAAAATTAAATTTAAAATTCTTAATAAGTGTAAATTAATAACTAAAAAATACAATAAGTTTAAATAAATAAAGATGAAATTAATTTAGATGATTTAGATGAAGTTGAATAACCTTAAAATTAAAACAATAATAAAATAACTTAAATAAATATGGACGAAATTCCTTTTTTAAAATGAAAAAAATTAATTATTTCTTTATTTCAATATATAAAAAATATTTTGTAAACATTATTTTTTATTTATTAATGAAATAATTTTTTTTTTTTAAAAAAAAATAATAATAATATATATATATATATAATATAATTTTCATAATAAATAAACATAAATATCTTAAATTATAAATAAAAATAATTAATATATAATAATGAAATATTAATAATTATTATTCTATTTATTTTATTTCTTTTACATAGTTAAAACAAAAGAACTAAATCCAAAAAAAGTTGTTCGTGCAATAAATGCAGGTTCAACCATAACAAAAATGTCGACATAAGGCTTTGTTTTTTAAAAGGTAAAAATAAATAAAATAAAATATAAAAATTTATAACAAAAAAGGATCAAGGTTTTGATGAGGATACAAATGCAGTTGAATATTCTGGTAGTTCAACAAATCAAATAATAAAATATGCAAAAGAATAATATGTATATATGACTGAGAGACATGGATATTAAAGCTTTAATTATTAATTAAATATAGAAGAGGAAGGAACATATGTATTAATTTTAAAGTTTTGTGAAATGTATTTTGATAAGAAAGGAAAAAGAGTTTTTAATATAAAATTTGGAGATAAAACAGTTATTTAAAGTTTAGATATTTTTGCAAAAGTAGGTAAATATGTCGCGCATGATGAATATGTAGAATTCAGATATAAAAATTAAAAAATATTTTTTAAAAATTAAAATTGTAATAATGCATTTATAGATGGAAAATTGCTAATTACATTCGAAAAAACAGATAAAGATAATCCTTTTATCCATGGTCTTGTATTATTTCAAGGATCTTTAGATTGTAATATATAAAAAATAAAAATAAATAAAATATATAAATATATAAATATATAAATATATAAATATATAAATATATAATTATATTTTTATATATTTATATATTTATTTTTATAGAAACTGACTTTTATGAACTCGGTGCCTATTAATAATTATGGGAAAAAAAGTATTAATTGGAAATGAAATTAAGATTAGAATAATAAGCTAAACTTAAAGTTTCGAAACTTAAAAAATAGGAAAAAATTATTATTAGAAATGATCATTAAGATATTGAAGATGATTATGAACAAGTTTTTATTTCTAAATAATAAAAATTAATTTAATTTTTTTTTTTTAGATTGATGTTAAAGAGAAAAAATTTTCAGTTAAAAAAAGTGGATTTTCAATAACATAATTTTTAATGACACCTATAGGTATATTTTTTATGGGAATCGTATTCTTTTTTTTATGCGCTGTAGTTTATTTTTTCATATAAAATTTAGAAAATTATGTAATTCTTATTTTTATTTTTTTATATTATTTATTAAGATATATATTTTTATAGTCTGGAAAATAAAAAACAGATTGAATAATAAAAAGATAAGTTTTATTAATATTATATTTTATTTATTATTTTATTTTTTTAAATTATAGCTCTACAATTTTTTTAATAGAAAGTTATTAATAATAGCTTTATTTTTTTTTAAAAAAAACTATATAATTTATTTAATCCTAATATATTTAATAATTAATAAAATAAAAAATTAAAAGTTATTAAATTGTTAAAAAATTTAAAAATTAAAAAAAATTCAAAGTTTTTTAAATTAAAATATTATTTATATTTCTGATATATTTATAAAAAAATCAAATAAAAGAAAAGAAAAAAATACATAATAAATAAGCATTCAATTTATAATAAAAGTAAATAAAAATTAATTTACTTATAAAAAAAGAAATATTATTATTTATGAATAAATACTTTAAAAAACAAAAAAAAACAAAAATTATAAAGAAGTACAATCAATACCCTTAATAAAAAAGAATAATAAAAAAAAACAAAAAAAAAACAATAACAACACTCAAAATATGGGCAACAAAATAAATTTTCAAACCCAACTCAAACAAGACATAAATACTGAGGAATTTTACATAGGAAAAACATTATCAAACAACGACTATTAAAGACATACTCAATAAAATAAATAGTCAGTATACAATAAATACTGTCAAATGACTAATTTTTGTAGCGATTACAAATAAACATATGAATATTAATAAAAGTAAAAAATTTCTAAAAACCTTGCTTAAGAAAAATTATAAATTTAAAAAGCCACATGTTTAGGTTGTATGTTACATGAATAAGAAATGTATTTTGATTGTAACGAATTAAATATAAACGTTGACCAAACCAAACCTAAAGGTCGTTTAACGAATACTTCAATAGCTTTTTTAGCCCCTTCTGAAATAAATTTTTTTAAAAGCAGTGCCACTAGAAATGTATCTGCAATTCGTTTTTTTTAAAAAATGGGGTCAATATAAACATATTAGATGAAGAAAGAACATCCCCTCTACATGTAGCAAGTAGACATGGGTCAGTTTAAGTAGTCGAAGAACTCCTTATTAGTGGCGCAGATTGTGATATTACAGATGTAGCAGGATGGACTCCTTTACATGTAGCCGCATTTTTCTAAAGGGATCTGATCTGTGAACTTTTATTGAAAAAAGGTGCCAAGTATAACATGAAAAATAGAGATGGATAGATACCTTTTCAATTGGCAAGAAATAAAAAAACTCAAGATGTTTTTTCGAGATTCTTTTAAATAGAAGAAAAATAGTTCGAAATAAAATAATAATAACAAAAATAAAACATATATGAGTTTTAAAATAAAATAGAGAAAAATAATCTCCTTTAATTTCCTATTTCATAAAAATAATAATAAGAAGAAGAAGAATCTCTCGAAAATTACAATGAAGACGAAATCGAAGAATAAAAATATGAACATTTCATAATTAAAGACTCTATGTAAATAAATAAACCAAAATTTTCATAAAAAGAAGAAAATAATAACAACATATTTTATTTTTAAAAAAAAAAAAATTAAAATAATAATAATCTTTTAGAAATAGAAGAATAAAAGGAAGAAAATATTAAAAAAAATTCCAAAAATACACGCATAAATATCTCAACAGACCTAGTTTTTTATAAAAGCCATTAATAAATTTTATAATAAAACGAAAATTTTCTCTTTGAAGATTCTTCAAACAAAGACTATTTAATTTCCCCTAAAAAACAAAAATATAACACTTATTTTAACTCATTAAAAACCCGTCTTTAATTTCCTAATAATATAGAATATACACACAATAATAACAATATTTATAAAAACAACGATATTTTCTATACATAATCCCCTAAAAAAAAAAAACGTAGTAATTCCCTATATTTATCCCCTTCACCAACAGCTTATTTTTTAAATTCTTAAATATCAAAAAAAATTGAAGAATTTGATGAATCCAATATAATAATGGACGATTTCGATTAAAAAGATGATATTAAAATCTAAGAAAGTCTAAAAATAAAAAAAAGTTCGTTAGAAAATTACTACAATGATTCTATTTATGTTGTAAAAAAATAAAAAATAAAAGAATATCTTTAAAACAATTAAAGCATACCTTTTAAACTCAAAAACATCTACAATACACCATGCGATCCGAAAAAAGACTTAGACTTCAAAATAAATAAAACATAGTCATCTAATGATCTGTAAATATAATAAATCTAAAAACAATAATAATATCAATCTTTATAATAATAAAATCAATAAAAATAATAAAATTAATTTTAACTTATTGAATAATAATTATAATAAAATTAATATTCAAGTTTTTAATAATTATAAGTTTAAAAAAATATTTTATTAATGTCCCCTGCTCCTTCCACGAACAGTATTTTTTTATTAAATAGGTAATAATTATCTATATAGAATATTATCATTTACGAATAATAATAAAATATAGCAACTATATATAACAATACTGAGTTAAAAAAAGAGCAATATGGATTTGATTTATCCTAGAACATACTCGAACTAGGAATTTCTTTATTCAACTCAAGTCCTTTAAACGGCCTAGCTTTTTTAATCCTTTTCCAATATATAAAATAAGGAAGTGAGGACATAGTGAAATTTCTAATGTAAAACTAACAAAACGTAACAAACTATTTATTAAAAAAAAGCCGATAATCAATCACATAAATTCTCTCAGACGTCCGTCTTTAAGAAAACCAAGAAATTTTATACTACTACAGCACTTTTTTTAACTTCCAAAGCAGTAATTTTTGCAGTGCATTAAGATAATACGTACAAGACCTCCAATTAGTAAATGATCCTGAAAAAATAGACGTTCTATTGAGTTATTTTGCAAAAAGGTTTTACTTATAAAATCAATAATAATAAGGACTTTTTGAAAATGCAGATTCTGTACATATGCTTGCTTTTGCGACTTTTATGCTTGATATTGACGTCTATTTTAATAAATAACCTAATTTATAAAAAACAATATAGGAGTTTTAAGAAAATATACAAAATATTAACGATGGGAAAAACTTCTCAACAGATTTCATAAATAATATTATCGAAAATTTACTAGATAATAAAATCACACATATAGTATCAGATTAATTAATAGAAAAATAAAAAATTCACTACTTTACGGTCTTTAATCTTCTTTTGTATGAAAAAGCTTCTATATATGCAGTTATTGAAAACACGAAAAAATAAAAGGAAATGATAATTTTTATTATTGATAATTTGGCAATTGTTACTAGTAAAAATAATATTTCGTAAGTTATTTCTGATATTGTTATTTTTTCAATGCTTAGTGTTGTTGTGAGTTTTAAAAATTAAATTCTAAGTCTAAAACCGGCTAAAATATTCAATAAATAATGCATTTATGTGGCTAAATTGAATAAAAAAACTTAAGGATTTATTGTCAAGTAAAAGTAAAATATTTAGTATAGAATTAAGGGGGAGGAACAAAGTAAAAAGTTCGAAGAAAAATTAAGGAATATATTCATTAAATAATAAAAATAATGATTTTATTTGTATATATTTATATTTATTCGTTTTAATCTCTTGCTATTTTAAAAAAATAATATTAATAGTTAAACTAAATAAATTATTAAAATAAGTAAAGTAAAAAATACATATAATAAAAAGAAAAATAATTAAAAAGTTATATATTTTTATATTATATAAGTATATTTAAAACTAAATTTTTTATATATTTAATATTTATAAAAATATAAATTATATTTTTTTTTTGACATTATATTTTTAATATATGAAATATTTTAAAATAGATTATAACGGTATAATTAATAAATAAAAAAATATTAAATTTAATAAATTAACAACAAAATAATAAACTCTTAAAATATATAAAAAAATTGTCTTAATTTCTATCTTAAATATTAAAAGAACTAGACTTATTTAGAAGTCCAATAGGTCTTCATATGAATAATTCCTTTTTCTATAAAACAAGTATTGGAGGTTTGGTTTCTATATTTTGTATAATATTTATAGGAATATTTTTTTCTTCTTCAATAGATAAATTTATACAAAGATAGTATGTATATGTATCTACAAACAAGTATATGATCCTAATCCTCCAAAATCATATATGAATTCATAAAGATTTATGATAGCATTAAATATATATTAAGATGATAGAAACTTTATTGAAAGGCCGTATTTTAATATTACAATGCTATTAGGCAATTATGTAAGAGAAAAAGATATATACAAAAGAGATAAAATAGAATTATAATTAGAGTAATGTACAGAAGCTCATTGGTAAAAAATAAGTAAAGAAAAAGATTTTGTTGAAGAATATAATAATTTAGGAAAAGATTATTTATGTCCATCGTATAAAAACAATAAATATAAATATATAAATATATATATATATATATATATATATATATATATATATATTATTATAGTATGGATAATGATATTTATATATAAGGTATGTTTGCTTCTACAATATTTAATTTTATTTAAATTGTTGTTTCTGAGTGTAAAAATTCAACTAGTCCAAATGCTTCTAATAATCGTAAATGGAATCCTATTTGTGCTCCAAATGATCTTGTAAAAATTAAAAAAAATAATAAATTTATATAATTAAAAAGGTTTAAAGTAAATTAAAATCTAAAGGCAATTTCGGATTATCTATTTTCCATAATAATTATGTTTTAAATGTAGATTAACCTTAAAATTATTACACCGAATTTTTGAATGATAAACTCTATTATACATTTATTCCTTAAAAAATGACTAAATTATCTGATATTTATTTTCAAGATATAGTTGTTGAAAACGATGAATCTCTTCTTCCTTTTGTCGATATTTAATAGCGAAATTTTCTCATTTAAGAAAATAACGATTAACATGAGACTATAGAATTGGAAAGGAAAGACGGGAAATATGTTGTTGCAACATTTAGAAAAAGCCCTTATGTTACCAAAATATCAAGATAATATAAAAAATTGAGTTAATTAATGAGTGAATTAGGTGGTTTTGTTTAAATAATTTTTATTGTTTTTGGAATTTTTATGACTAGATATAATAATACTAATTTTACTATGGATTTAGCTAATAAATTGTATATTTTTGAAGACTTAAATAAACAAAAAAATGAGAAAAAAAATTAACACATGAACCTAGATTATTAAAAAGTGAAAAATAAAGTTAGGAAAGTAGTTTATAAGATAACTAGAAAAGATCCTATATTTTAATAATATATGTAAAAAGAGTTAGAAAATAAACAAAGTTTAACTGAATTTTAATAAATCTAATAAAAAAGTAAAAAAGAATACTTAATAGCCTAATTTAATAAAATTTTAATGAAAAAAGATAAAATATAATTAGGAATATCATATTATTTATCTAATTTAACATTCAATTTGTTATTTTATTCTAAACAAAATTAATATATATAAAAAGCATCTTAACTTATGCATTAAGATTTAGATATAATAAATATTTTAGATAAAATTCAATAAATAGATAAAATAAAAAATATTCTTTTGGACAAAGATTAATAGAAAATATTTAATTTTAATGAAAAGCCTAAGATTAAATTCAAATAAAAATTTGATATTGATAAAATGGATTTAAAAAACATATAATAAATACTAACAAGTAAAGTTAATTAAAGTAAAGAAATATAATAATAAAATAAATCTGCTTTAGAAACCAGTTAACCTCTAAAAAGAAGTATTACAGCAAATATAAATGGATTAATAACTTAAAAAGTAGAATTCGATACTTTAGATTCTTATAAAAAATTATATAATTCTTATTATAATTTATAAAATGAAAATACTATAGGAATTAAAAGAGAGTAAAATATAAAATTATTTTATTTATATACATTTTAAAAAATAATCAATAGGATTAATATGAGATTAATAAAAGGATTAGGTGAATAACTTCTATAAATTTTCAATTTATCGGATTCTATTCGGAAACGATATTCACAATATTAAAATATTGAAAATAAAAATAATTTAGGAAAAAACTATGAAACATTACCTTTTGATGATGTTATTCTTTCTAAAAGAACTTCAAATTAATCACCATAAACTTCAATTTAAAATAATAAATAAATTTTATTTATTAAAAAAGGGAATAATAGTATTTTTTATGATGAAAATAAATCCATAAGAAACTCATTTTTTGATGTTAAAAAAGTTAATTAAAAAAATGAAACAATTACTTAAAGAAACACTAATCAAATTATAAGAAATGTAAGTTTTTAAAATCAAAATGATATAGATGTTACTGATGAGGAATTTTAGACTAAAGGGAATTATATTAAAAATATTTCCGAACTTAATTACTTATCCTAGAAATATGATAGTAAACATAAAAAATTTAGTAAAGAAGTTTTCTTTGATGTAAAAGATGATTGATATTAAAATAAAAGCTTAATTTTTATTTATATATTATATTAAATTATATTATATTTATTTTATTTTTTTATAAAAAGTAAATAATATTTTGTTTAAAATATTAGTAATAAATTAATTATATATTTTTTTTTTAATTTAAAATTTAAATAAATAAAAAATTAAACAAGAAAAAGCAATTTAAATATTATTTTTATTTTATTTTGATGTCTAATTTATAATAAAAGAATATTTATTTATTTTTAAAAAATAGTTATAATTTTTTATTAATTTATTAACTTTTTTATAATTTAATATTTAATGAGTATTTTAGTAATAATATGTTGTTAATAATTTTTAAATTTAAACAAAAACACATTATATATTTTTAAAATAAAAAAATGATATAATGTTTTAATTTTATAAGATAACTTTTTTTAAAATAAATATTATAATAGAAAAATTAATAAATTACTAATATTTTTAATAATATAATTATTTTTTTAAATATTTTATTTAAATAAAAATATTTATGTTATATATAAATATAAATTTATTTTTTTTAAATAAAATTATTAAAATTATATTAGATAAATTAAATATAAATTTAAATGACATTAATTTTAAAATTATGATGGTTTTATTTTTTTAACTTAAAAATATGATTCACTTTTTAAATTTCAATAAACTATATGTAATTTATAAAAATAATATATATAAATTAAATTTAAATAAAAGAATTTAAGTTATTTAAAATATATAATCAAAAGAAAAAACTTATGATAATTTTATAGTAAATTTTTAAAGTTAATTGTAATTTAATATAATTAAAATAAATTTTAATATATATAAATATTATTTATATAAATTGGTAACTAAAGAAAAATTAATTATTTAAATATGATTTATTTGTATTAGCATATAGATTGTAATAAACGAAAAAAGATTTAAAACAAGAAATTAGTATTATTAATAATTAAATATAAAATATCCTAAAAATATATAATCATATATAAAAAATTAAAAATAGTTTCTTAAAATTATAAATGAAAATTTAATTATATTATATATATATATATATAAATTTAGAAATATATATATATATATAAATAATTTTTCTATTATTATAATTTTTTTATTATATATTAAAATGATATTAACAATCTATTTATATAAAATTATATGAAAATAAATATTTTTAAATTAATTATTTTTTATTTATATAATTTACCATTCAATTTTTTATTTTATTTGAAATAAAAAATATATTTATTTATTTACGTATTAATATTTTTATATAATAAATATTTTTGATTAATCTTATTATATATATAAAATTAAAAAATTCTTATTTTAAAATAATTAATTAATAAGTTTTTATTTATATTGATTAATCTTTTGCTATATTTAAAAAAAATTAATTAGGTAAAGAATAATATATATATTTATAAAAATTTTCTTTTAGTATTGATAATAACATTATAAATTTTTGATAAGATTAAAATAATAAATATCCTTTTGAAAGTCTTTCTTGCAAATCTTAATTGATTATTAACTTTATAAGTAGAATTTTTTATTTTAGATCTCATAAAAAAAATTCTATATGATTCTTATTTTACTTTATAAAAAATAAAAAAATCATATATACAAAGATATTATTATTTCTTAAAATATAATCTAGGACTATTTATTATCGTTTCATAATTATTTATGTTTAAAGATAAAATACTAGTAATCTTTTTATTTACCTAAATCATAAAGAAAATCTTTTTTAAAAACTATAAAATTATTGCAAGTAATAAAATTATAACATAAAGATGCAATAAACTAATTATATGAACTATCAACTTTTATAATCTAAAATATATATAGATATTATTAATATAGACTTTTAATATTATTTTATTATTTATATTAAATTTAATTTTTATTTAATAATATTTAATTAATTATGTATTTATTATTTTAAAAAAATAAGATTTATATATATTTATTTAAATTTATTAATAATGTTTCCTTAAATAAATTATAATGAATTTCTTAAATATAAATATGTAAAAATTAAAATAATAATATTTTAATATATTTCATTTATTTTTTTATTATATAATAAAAAAACATAAATAATATATTTTTATTTTTTAAATAACTTAATAAAATATATTTTAAGTTTATGAAAATTAATTTGATTTATTATTTAATAAAAGCTTAATAATATCATTAATATATTTAATTAAGTTACTTATTTATGTAATATTCTTTTAGTTTATATACATAATATTAATATTAATTTAAAATTATATTAATAATTAAAGTTATGATAAAAATATATAAGAATATAATATAAAAAACATAAAAATTAAATTAAACTATATAATAGTAAAATAAATATTATATATAAAATTGTTCTTAAAATAGTAATTATTATTTAGTTAATTTTTTAATTATAATCAGTATTAGTCATAAAACATATCTCTATCTTATCTATAGAAGTTATTAAGATATAAATCATTTTATTAATATTATTATAATTTATAAATTTCATCTTTATCAATTTAATTAGAGTGATCAGAAAACTATTATTAATTGTTTTACTAATCTATTTAGAATTCATTATTATAATAAATATTATTATCATTATTTTACAAATAATAATTGTTTTCATCATAAAATTATTATTATTATTTATAGCCATAATCATTATTTTTTTATTTATAATTATTATTTATTAAATTAATTTAAATATTTTAATTATTTAACATTTAATTTTAATAAGTCTTTTAGACTTCAAATTTATTTGCTTAATGACCCAAATTACAAGAACTATATTTTCTTAATAAACAATCTTAAAATTAACTAATTTTTCTTTTTAAAATTATTAACGATCTCATTCTTACAGGTTCAGAGTTAAATCTTTATCTCATCATATATATATTTTTATTTTAGTTTTATTAATCTTTCTTTTTTATATTTGAAAAAATTATCTTCTTTTACGTGGATAGTTTTTTATAATAGTAAAAGGGGCTTTTTCTCTGATAACTACTTAAGCTTATTTCATTGTTTTTTTTGATGTTATGTTTTTGTTTTATTTTTATTTACTTTAATTTTTTGATTTTAGAATTAATTTTTATTTTATTAAATTTAAGCTTTTAATTAATATATTACCATGCTAAAAATACATGCAAATCATTTTTTAAAAATTTGTATAAAAAATAAAATTTTAAAAGTAAATTAATATAAAAGTTTAAAAGTTCATTAGACAAGAATTTATTAAAATATTTTTAGTTAAAAAACTAATAGATATATATAAATATTAATTTTCTATTTCAACAAAAAATTATTTTTGTGTAAGTTAAAAAATTAAAAAGCTTGAGAATTATATAAAAACTTTTATTTATTTTTTCTTAAAAATTTATATGAAATAAAAATAATGCAATTACAAAGCTAAAAATATACAAAAATTTTTTCTATTTCATAAAATTTTTTTATAATAAATAAAAATAATTTGAATAAAAATTTGATCAATAAATATATCAAATAATTTAAATTGATTTAATTTTTTTTTATTAGAAATTTATTAAATATAAAATTTTTCTAAAGAAAGCATTAACATTCATTTTTATAAATAATTCTTTAATTTATAAAATAAGTCATTATATAATTTATTATTTAGAAAATAAATCTACTTATATATTTGAAATATTAAAATAAATATATAATATTTCTAATACTTTAAAAATAAATTAATATTTTTTAATAATTATGCTAATAAATTAATATGTTAAAAATAAAATATTACATCATACTTTAATTTTAATTTAATTCTAAGACTAATAAAAATTAATACATAATTTTTTATATTAGATTTTATAATACTATGTATTCATATTACATATTATTTTACATATTATTATTTAAGAAAAGAATAAAAAAAAATCTATTTTTTTTAATTATAATAAATTGAATATCAAAACTTTTAAGCTAAAGCTAGTTTATTTATATGTATAAAATAATTTATATAATAATAAAAAACATTTATATATCATTATTATTTAATTATACAGTTATTATAATCACAGATAAGTATAAAAATTTCAAAAAATAAAAAAAAATTATTTAAAAAAAAACTTAAAAATAACATTATAAGAATATTATTATATTAACTTTTTTTCTATATAAACAATATTTTTTAAAACAAAAAATAAAGTAGAATAGTTAAATGATTATTAATTTTACATTAAAAGTATTTATTTTATAAAAATATAATACATCTTATTTTAAATCATATATTTTTTATTAAATTTAAAGTTTAAAATAAAAAATGGATTAATATATATTATAAACAAAAGTATAAATAAATAAAAAATTATTAAGAAATATATTTTTATAGATAAGTTATTTTTATTATTAAAACATTATCTTAATTTAGCTTAATATAAAAAGCAAAAACATAAATAAATATAAAAAATATATATTTTTATAATTAAAAAATAATGGAAATAAAAATCAATAAATTATATTTTATCAAATAAAAAATAAATAAATTATAAATAATATAACTTTTATATTAAAAAAATAAAATAAAATAAAAATAAAAAACTCATTTAAACAAAATAGCTTTTTTACCAGAAATAAATTAATTCCAGCTATTTTGTTTATTATAATAAGAATTTGCTAATTGGCTTTAAATTAAAGCGCTTCCAGATTTATTTAAGTGTTTCATAAAAATCTCATTATTTTTAAACAATCCTATTTTTTATTTAAGCTAAGCCACTGAGTTTTCATTATTATTAAAATTTTAATTATTTCTTGCACTATTATTTTAGGACACATATTATCTTGTAATAGTAAATTCTTTTAAAGCATTTTCATATTATTATAGACTTTCTAAAAAAATAAAAAAAAATAATGATAACAAATAAAAAAAAGAAATACATTATTCTTAGTTATTAGTAAGATCATAACAACTTTATTATAAAGGAAAAGTATTTTAATTTATTCTATTGATAATATTTTAAACTTATTAACTAAGAATTTAATCCTTTTTATCAAATGATGATTAAAGAATAGGCAAATTTATTTATTTTTCTTCCAATTCTTTCATTACTAATTTAACCACATAATTTATAGGGATTTAATTCAAGTTTTTTTTATTATTTATTTTTATATAATTTTGTATTTCCTTTTCTAAATTTTTTATCTTCTCCTCTAGTATCTGTTTATCTTATAAATTTTCTTAAAAAAAATTATTAATCAATGATTTGTCTGAATTAGTATTATTATAATTATTATTGCTAATTTTAGATTCTTTAAATTAACCAGAATTTTACATATGGACTTTTAATTCATTCTAGTTTTTTATTATTTGGCTTTTTTTTTAAGTAGAAAACAAATTTTATTAATTTTTTTTTTAAATAATGATTCCTGCTTCATATTTCTCTTTATTTTTGCTATTTTAGTTTATTTAACTAATCTCGTTTTCACTCGTTTCTTATAAATTTGTCGTATTATTATTTAAATTGCTTGTAGTATTTAAGTTTTTATTAGCCGTAGTATTATTCATTGAAATATCATTTTTTTTAAGCTATGCTTTTACATCAACTAAACTCATTTATAATTCTACATCAAAAAGCTATTTTTTTATATTTAGTATAATTATATTTTTTAATTCTTATTTTTTTTTTTTTTTTACATCTTAATAAGCTAAAGGTGTATTGTTTGTACTTTAATTCCTTTTTTACTAAGTTTTATTATTATTTGTATCATCAAAAGAATGCAAATAGGTATTCACCTATTCTAAGTCATTTATTTTTTTTATATAATATTAATACTAATGATTTTGAGAATTTTTTTTTTTTCGGAAAATTCATTAGTAAAATTTTACTAGCTTTATTTTAATTATCTTTATTTTTATTTTTTTAATATTTTTTTTTATTATTATTTACTCTTCTTTGTGTTATAATATCTATTCTTATAATTTATTTATTTAATTTTATAAATTTTATTAAACATTTAATTTTTCTTAATTTGCTTAATATTAATCTTTTTGCATATTTTATATTAATAATTTATATTCATCATTCTATTAAAAATAAAAAAAATAATAAATCTAAAAATAATTTTCTTATTTATACTTGATTTTATAATTCTGAAATCATTAAAAGGTATTTTTATAATTTAAATTCAGAATCTTAATCAGAAAAACTTTTATTTTCTAGCATTTTTTGTAAATCTCTCATTGCTTTATTCTTTTTATAAAATAAAAAATCTAAGGAATATGTAAAATTAAGTAATAATTTTTTTTATTTTTTATATATATATTAATTTATTTTATATTAAAAATATTAATTAAGTATATTATTTACTTAAAAATAATTATAATAAGATGTTTTTTTTCTATATATTATTATATTTTATTGTAAAATATTAATTAAGTATATTATTATTTACTTAAAAATTATTAGGATCTGATGTATAATCATTTAAAGTTTTCATAAAAGTCTCATTCATTTTTTATAAATTTTCATTTCTTGCTTTGCTTTCATTTATCTATAGTAACAATAATTCGATTTTTTATTATAATATTGCTCTTTCTTTATTCCATTAATATTCTTTTGTTCTAAACTTTATATTTAAATATAAAATTATTACCATTTAATATTAACATTTTGTATAAAAATTTATATATTTTTTTATATTTTTTTTTTTTTTTTTCATTTTTTCAAATTACTTAATATTATAGGTTATAGTTTTGATTCTATAGATTATCAATTATTTTTTCTTACTAAATAGCTTGAGATTAGCTAGATTAATTATTATTAAATTACATTTAAATTTTATATTATTATTATATATTTTTTTAATTTTAGTAAGATGTATCAACTTTATATTTATTATTAATTTTATTGATTATAATTTTTATAATTATTTTTAAATTAAAACATTTTATCTAAATAAAATATTTTTTATAGTTTTTAAATTTGAATCGTGTTTTTTTTTTTTTTTATTTATCTATATATAAAAATTATTAATTTAAATTTCAAAAAATTATTATAATTTAAAATAATCTAATACAAAGTTATAAACTATAGAATTTATATTAAATTTCTTTTATAAGAATAATAATTAAGAAAAAAATGTCAAATTAAATATTAAAAATGTATTACAATATAATATTTAATATCAAATAAATTTACAAATTATGTATATTATATTTTATATAAAAATAAATATTTTATTGATTTAAAGATAAAAAATATTTGTAATTAATTAATATATATTATAAAAACATAAAATTAAATAACTATATAATATATAAAGATTTTATATTTTCAATTATTTTAAATTTTTAATAGTATTAAAATAAAAATTAATTTATTCTTAAAAAAATATGTAAATCAAAGCAATATTAATTTTAAAAAAAACATAATAAATTTAAATTATAAAAATTAATATAATATTTATAATTAAACTTTAATCCATTAATATTTTAAATTAAAATTTTAATTTTTATACAAGTATCTATATATCTATATATCTATATATCTATATATATATATATATATATATATATATATATATATATATATCTATATATATATATATATATATATATATATATATATATATATATATATATATATTAGTTTTTATTTTAATAAAACAATATTTCATCTTTGTTTTTTATAATAATTGCTTTTTTTTATTTATATAAAATTATTTATTTTCTAATATTAAAATAATAATTATTTCAATAAATAGTTAATTTATAATTTACACAATTTCATTCATTTAAATTAATATATTTAATAGTTATTTTTATTTTAAATTTAATATTTTTTTTATATTATATTATAAAGAAAAAATTTATATTTCTCTAATTCCATAGCTAATATAAAAACTTCTAAAATAATATAAATGTAATAAACGCAGAATGGAGAATTAGAAAACATATAATATTAATCTAATATTTAAAGTAAAAAATTATAAAAAATTAAAAATAATAAAATAAAATTTGATACATAAATAAACATTAATATTTAATAAACAAAACAAAAAAGAAGATTAATAATTTAATATAATAGATTAAAAATAAAGTTAATATAATATAAATAGCAAAAATATAAATCAAGGTATTATTATAATACAATATATAAAAAAACATATTTAAACAATATATAATTTAAATTTCCAAATTAGAAATGCATGAGGATATTCATTAATAATAGACATAACGGAATAATTATTTCGGCGACATAAGAGATTAAGTTTTAACATAAAAAGTAGACAAAGCATTATTTAAACTTCAATAAATAGACGACCAACGTTACGCTTTAAAGCTCCTCAGCCTTAAATTTTTTATATAAAAATTACGCAAATACACATACTATAATCGCTAAAAATAACTAACAAAATAACATAAAAGTCTCATAAGAGACATATCTTTAGCCGAAAATAATATCAAAGGTAGTATAAACTCTCATAAAGATTAAAAAAAAGCGTCGAAAAATCGTTATACAGTCCTAGATGAGGAAAAAACATCTATTTTCTCTAAAATATTAATGAAATTTCCATTATTTTCCGCTTCAAATTCCTTCCTAATAGGTTGGGACATAATCTAACTTTTATACATTTTAATGTTCTATTATGCGATTCCTTTATAAATGACATTTTAAAAAGGATTGGGGACATACATATCCGATTACCTGTTCAATATGGGAATTCTAGTTTTTTAATCGACAATCTACTCTGTTTAAACACTACATATTTCGAAAAAGGTGTATAAATTTAAGACCGATATTTAATTTTCAAGCATTATATCAAAAAACATTTAGTAGCAGATTTATTATCTAATATTCCTGTACTTATAGACTATTTTGTAGTATAATTGAATGGTATATGGAGAATTCTGATGCTTTTATAATTTTTAAAAAACGGAAGAGTTAAACTTATAATGAGAAAACTAGAAGAATATTTTCATTTAACACCTACTTAATAATAATTAGTTTCTTTAATAAAACTTCTTACTACAGTATTGTTTATAACACATATATTTTCTTGTATTTGGATTTATATAGCTATAGGGGAAACTAAATAATCTTGGTTGATAAAATAAAACTATTAAGATTAACAATGGTATTTTTAATATTTACTAGCATATTATTTTTCCACAGTGACTATGATTACTGTAGGATACGGTGATGTTTTACCCACTAACCCGAAAGAATATGTATTGTGTATAATTACTATGTTAGTTTCTTGCGGAGTGTTTGCTTATGCAGTTAATTAAATAGGAAGTATTTTTGAATTGCTTTTTAAATAGGAAAAAGAGTTGAAGGAAATGATTTATAGAATTAGTAATTATATGCATTTGAAGAAAGTATCTAAAGAATTATAATTTGAAATTAGAGAATATTTATAATATTATTGGAGAGAAGAAAAAAATAGGTATATAATTTATACTAATTTTTTTCTCTAAAATAAAAAAATATAGAGATACAGAATAAGAAGAAAAAATAATAGGATAATTAAGTGATAATTTAAAAGATTTATTGGCCTTAGAAGCTAATAATTTAGTTTTGAAAGACTCTGTAGTCTTTCGAAATAATTTCAGTGAAAGTGTCATTAGACTAACTGTCCCTTTAATAAAGGAAAGTAGAATAACTCCCGAAGAAGTAATAACAGTAGAATGTGGAAGGGATGATTCTTGCATTTATTTTATTGAAAAAGGTCAAGTGGAAGTCTTTATAGACTAGTTTAGTGATAAATAATACTATACATAATAAATCCAAATACTAAAACCTGGAGATTCATTTGGTTCGATATCTTTTTTTACTGGAAGTCTAAGAAAAATGTCAATAAGATCATTAGATTTTACTACTTTATTGTCAATAAAAAGATAGAGTTTTTTAGAATTATTGAAAGATCATCCAGAAGATTACGAGAAGTTTTGTTGGATTAAAAATAAGATTCTAAATGAATAAGACTATAGGTAAATAGGTTTAAAATGTTACTCTTGTGGAGATTTGAAGCATTTATGTTTAGATTGTCCTTTTATACATTTCGCACCTAAAAGATATTCTTTTTTGAAAAAAGAAAATAAATGGATTAAATAAAATAGATAAAAATATATAAGAAGATTTCATAAAAAATTCTAAAGTCTTTCAAATAAAGATATTTTATAGGAAAAAGCAGAACTTATTTAAGAAAAATTATCGGTTATATTGGAAGAGTTATATGGATTCTTAGATTATATGAACGATGAAAATTTAATAGAAGAAAGTTCTTTTGATTATGATTCTTCAGAATAAGATATTAATGAAGAAGAAAAAAATGACGATGAAGATAAAATAAAAAAATATAATTAAGATAAAATAAAGAAAATAGAATAAAAAGAAAATTAATAAGATATGATTATAATATAAAATACTTTTTAATCCTAAAATACAATTTAAACTAATAATTCTTCTAAGAAAACATTAGAAACAAATAATAATATTAATTATATTAAATAAACTTCATATTCATTGTTTGAAGAAAATAAATAGTAATTATAAAATACAGATAATAATATAGAAATTGAAAATAATCAATATTAATAAAAAAAAATAAGAAAATAGGATTCATTGTATTCAAAATTAGATTCAAAGTAATATTTTACTATGAATTCAAGAATAAAATAAAATACATAAAAAACAGAATAATATAAAAGTAATAATAATAATAACAATAATATTCATAATAATATAAATCATTCTATTTAAAATATTTCAAATGAATAATTACTCTAAGAAACATTAAAAAATAAACTTGCATAATTTTTTGATTGGTAATAAAAAGATGGAAATAATTATTCGGATTTTATTATAGGTTCTGAAAATAAAACTAACATTTTTTCAGTTTAAAATTTCGATGTCCTTAGAAATTATACAAATTTTTTTCCCTAATGCAATTATGATGTTGTTTTGAGAAAGTACGAAAATTACAGATATTATAGAATGTATTCTAAAATATAATAGTTTCCAAATTTATTAATAAAAAATGAAATTCAATTCAAAATAGAATAATAATAATTCCATTATAACGATTTCATAATAATAAGGTGGTGGATAATTCGAAAGGAAAATCCGAAAAGGAAATATAAAAGTTTTCGGAGGAAATGTAGCTAATAATCTAATTAAAAAAATATAAGGATAAAAATTACAAAACGATATTGAAGATTTCACAAATAGTATTTCATAAGAAATTAATAAAGAAGACAGAAATTCTATAAGAAAAAATACAAGATAATATACTAAAAGACATCAGGAAATACTTAATCCTTTTCCTATTAAAAATATAGAAAAAGTTAAAGATGAGTCCTATTAATAATTGCTTAGTCGAATTTTTAATAAATTCGGAGGAGGCAACGATAATTAAATTTAAGAAGATTAAAATAGCAATGAAAGTGAAGCTATGTAAAGAAATAAGATTAATAATACTCTTTGTAGTTTGCAAAATGAAGTCGTTAATAATTAATAACCCACTTTTGGGAATTTGTCGGTGTCTGATAATGGAAATATTCCTTTTTTTAATAATTTTAAAATTTATCATTTAAAATATTGTGAATAGTAAGATTGATTTTAATTAAAAATTATATAAAAATTTAGAAGCTTTTATATTTAAAGTTAATTAATAAAAAAATAATGTGTTATATAAAAATATATATATATAAATAATTAAAAATATTAGTTTAAAAATATATATAATAAATATTTTAATTTTATTAAAATAATTTTGGTGTCTTTTTAATTTAGAATTTTATCTATTTTTATAACAAATTTTAATAATTACATTGTTTTTAAAAATTGAAAATGATTAATAAAGGTACAATAATTTTTAAATAATAAATATATAAGTAAAATAGATGATAACAATTAGTTAAAAAATTTACTTAAATAATAAAAAAAAGAACAATTTTAAAATACAAAAAGAAATAAACTAAAATAGAAAATATTATAACAATGCCGTAAATACTACGAAAATAATTTTTAAGAACAAATTTTATAAAAAAATAATTATATTAATGATAAAATGGACATTGAATAATAGAAAGAAGATTAATTTAATACATATAATATAATAACGTATTTTTATAATTAAATAACGAGCAAGAAGTAATAAAAATAAGAGTAAGATACATATGATATAAATATAGAAGAAATAATATTAATAATCTAAAATAATCAAAATAAACAAGATGTTATAGTAAATTTTATTAAAATATAAAATAATTTATTATATTTAAAAAAAATATGGAAGTGTAAACTACTAGAAATTCTTTATTATGAAATATTAAAAAACGAACATTTATAAACATAATTAATATAAAATAGTTTTTTAAAAATTATTGATACATATTACATAGAAGCTACATAAAAAACAAAAGAATTAATTATGAAAATATCATATAATTTAACATATAATTCAAAATGTATAATAAATGATATATTTAATTATAATATACTAAAATAAAATGTAAAAACTGAAAATAAAGATATTGAAGAATTATATGTATTACTTTTAACTAATGTTTGTATATTGTAAAAAAATATTGAATTAAAAAATCTAAAAAAAAGTTTATGTATATTAATAAATTATATGAACAAATTATTTGATAAATAAAAAAATATAACAAAATAATGTGTTTTAGCAATATATTAATTAATATGTAATTAAAAAAAAATAATAATATATATAAATATATAAATATATTAATATATATAATTATTTTTAAATAATTTTATATTTCTTTATTTTTAAAGAATAAGATAATAATGATTTCATGTTATATATATCTAAAAATGATTTATTCTTAAATTTTTTAAATTAATTTTTATAAATTAATAAATAATCTATTCAATATATTTGTATAAAAATTATTAATTTTTTGATTAAGCAAGATTATTTACAATTTATATTAGATAATAATTATGATTTACATATTTTTAAAATTTGTGAATAAACATATTTAAATTATTTAACTAAGAAAAAAAAAATGGAATATCTAAATAAATTGCGCATTTTTTTACATATATCATCAAAGAAAAATCAATTAATTTGTTATATATTATGAATAAATACAATATAATAAAAATTTTAATTTAGTAATTATAAATATCTAAATACTATGTAAAAAATTGAAATAAATTATTATATTTTTTAATATTTTTTTGTTAAAGGATATTGTTGAATATTGTAACATCTTTATATTCTTAATTAAGTTTTATGAATATTTTGATTAAATTTATTAATATTTTATCGAATAAAATATCATTTAAATATTATTTGAATTATTTATTAATAGTAATGATGATATTATATATTCTTGCTTAATTTTAATTTTGGATTTGTTAATAAAATCAAAAGAAAATAATAAAATAATATAAATTAAAATTTTATTTAATTAAGAAATGATTTAAGTATTGGAAGAATACAGTTTTTAAAAATTAAATAGTATTTCAGATTTTTCACAAGACATCTTAGATATAATAAAATGAAAAATATATTATATTTAAAAAAATAACTTTTTATTTATATTTTTTTTTTTATTTTTTTATATTTTTAATATAATATTTATCATTTTTCTTAATCTTAAGATAAATAAGAAAATTGTAAATTTAACATTAATGTATGGGCACATTCAACTTTTTTTGAAAAAAAAAAATTAATGAAAATAGTATGTATTTATTTTTTAAAAATTAATGTTAATTTAATTTTACATTTATTTTAAATAAAAAAAAAAAATACTTATGCAATTGTTTTCTTTTTCATTTAATTTTTTTTATTTAAAATCATTATATAAACCGCATTTTTTAGAACATAAAATCATATAATTAGCAAATGCTATATTTGTTTCTTATTCCATCATATATTTTTTATCACTCATTTTTGTTTAAATAATTTTATATTAATATTATTAAAAAATATAAAAATAAGTAATAAATAAGAAAATATTAAATTTAAATATTTTAAATAAATCTTAAAATATTAAATTATTTTTTTTTTTAATATAAAAAAAAAAAACATATAATTATTAATAAATTTCTACTATCAAAATTATTTAAATTTAATAAAATTTAAAATAATTTTTTTTTTTATTTATTTATAAAATATTATAAACAAAAGAATTCGATAAAAACAAAATCAAGTATTTATTCATGAGTTTTTATAAAAATTTACATATATCATCATTATTTATATAATAATAATTACAAACAATTATAAATTAATATTATATTTATTTATTTTAATATTTATTACATATTACTTTATATTAAAAAATCTATTTATGATTAATATTTTAATCGCCATAAAAATAAAAAAAAATCAGTAAAAGAATTCAATAAAGTAAAAAAAGAATACATATAATATAAATTAAATAAATAAAACAAATAAAAAAAGAAAAAATAAAAGAATAACATTCTTTGTTAAAATTTAAGAAAACCAAATATTTTTTTAAAAAAATAGAAAAAAAATGGATTACGAAGACGATTATATAATATTACCTATTAAAGAAAAAATTGTAAATAAACTGAATAAATAACAATTAAAAAAAATAAAAATTAAAAGGTAAAAATATACAAAAATGGAGATCCAGTAATGAAACCTTGTGATGTGAAAATACAAAAAAATTATAATTTATAAAGTATTGCTTAAATTCTTGATTAAAAATCAGAAATGAAAAATTTTAAGTGTTTACGCTTATTCAATAATGAAGGAGTAGAAATTTTTAATGACGATATTTAATATTTGAAAGATAAATCTGTATTATATGCCTCTAATGGTAAAAAAAAAAAAAAAATCTTTTTCAAAATAAAATTAAATAGGCGAAGAATTTGATGCAAATTCGACTTTTTCAGAATATGATTTAATAAAAGTAATAGGAGAAGGAGGTTTCGGATAAGTTTTATTAGGAATTCATAAATAAACATAAGAAAAAGTAGCAATAAAAATCATCAAAACATCAGCAATAGGTAATAAAAAAAAAAAAAAAAAAAAAAAAACTAACAAAAAATAAATGAAAAGGAAATGCAAATGATATCGATATGGTATTTCGAGAAGCTGAAATTGTGAAATCCTTAAACCATAAAAACATTGTAAAAATAAAGAGTTGTTACACATTAAGTAACATGTAAGTTGTATTTATAATGGAATATTTAGAAGGCGGTGAACTCCTTGACCGTGTAGAAGCTAAAAACAATTTCGAGGAATAAGAAGCCCGAATATATTTCAAATAAATAGTTGAAGCGATGAATTATTGTCATAAAAATAACTTAATACATCGTGATTTAAAACTAGAAAATGTTCTATTAACAAAACCAGATTAGGATTAAATAAAAATCGTAGATTTCGGAATTGCTGGAGTTGCATCTAAATTCGATGTGGATAATATAGATAGTGGAAGTCTCAAATATATGTCTCCTGAAGTGGTTGCGGCAAAAATCAAATAATTAACTTCGGCAATTGATGTATGGTCTATGGGAGTTATTTTATATGTAATGTTAGTTGGTGATTTCCCCTTTAATGCGAATTCAAATATTTAGGTTATGGATAAAATTTTAGAAGGTAAATTCGAAATCCCAAAATAAATTAAAAAAAATACTCTCAAAAGAATGTATTGATGTGATTATGAGAACTCTGGAAGTAGATCCTGCCTTGAGAATTAGTACTTCAGATTTGTTTCATCACCCTTTTGTTTGCGAAGAAAATATGGCTGCTAAATTATTAGAAGATATCAAAAAAGAAGAAAATAAAAGTAATTAGAATTAGGAACCTGAAGTTAATATCTAGAGTAATAATAATAACGTTGATTAATAAAATTCTACTAAAATTCAAAATAAAAATATTGTTGGAACTAAAAAATATGCTAATATTTCACTTAATACCTAGGTCTAATCAGGTTTTAATACGCCTAAAATTAATATTAGTAAAAAAAATAGTCCTATTTCTTAAAAACATGGTAGCCTTACTCCTTAAACTAAATAAGCAAATACTTATGGTTTATTTTATTAAAATATTATATATATATATATATATATATATATTATTATATTTTATTTATTTTAGTAACAGATAATAAAAGTAAGTTTAGTGCAAATGGTAACACTATAATAAGTAATAATTCTGCATTTAAAAAATGAGAAATATTATTCTTTTATTATATTTATTTTGTTCTTTATAAAAAAAATTATTAAAAAAAACTCTTTATAATTTTTAATTTTTTAAATAAAAAATTTTAAAAATTAATATAAGGAAAAAAATAATAAAATAACCGATTTTTAAATTTATTTAAAATGATAAAAATATTTAATTATAGTTTTAAATAAAATAATTATTTATATATAAATAAAAAAAAATACTATTTTTATTTTTATTAATAATAATAATAAAAAAAATATAATTTTTATCAAAAAGAATATTTTTCAAACCAAATATAACTTTTTATTAAAAAATTTTTAGCTACTTCTTATAAAAAATAATAGAATTGAAAAAGGAAAAATACCGAATAATAAAAAACCATCAAGTAAGAGGATCTTCCTCCAAAAACTCTATTTAAAAAAACCAGACACATAAAATAAAAAATCTAATAGTAATTTCTGATATTAGCTTGAAATAAAATAACAAGGTTTTTCGGTGCATATAAAGTTGTATTTACTATAGATTTAGATGCATAAATATTACTAATTTAGATAAAATATACATGAAATAATTCAAGCTGACTACCCATATTTCAAAGCATCAGTATTATAACAAGTAATAAACCCTCTTATAGGTAAAATATTAATATATTTAATAAGTTTTGAACAGTAAACCACAGTCGATAAATAATTTGTTTTGAAAAAGTATAATTATTATTATAAGAATTGTTTTATTCGTTTTATATATAAATTTTTTATCAAACTTATTTATAATACATTCAAAAAAGAACTTTGTTATAGACTTTAATTTAATCAAAGTATAAACTATCTAAATTTAGTTATAATTTTCATTTACTATAATATAATTTCATTTCATAATATAATTATTTCAATATAGTTTTTTTTAGTTATAAAAAGCAAAGAAAATATTTCGGTTATTTTAAAATAATTTAAGATTTGATAATAAATTAAAAATATTTTTTTATTTTTGTAAATTTTATAAAAAAAATAAAAAATTATATAAAAATAAAAATGCAAAGTTTTGAAATGGACTAAGAAGCCATATCTCCAAATTTAGTGAAGTTAAATAAGAATATAAAAATAGATACAAACCAGAACGTTTTTTTTGATAATCTTTTAAGAAAAATTGGTTGGGGTAAATTTAATACATTGTCTTTTATCGCAATATCAATGAGTATTTTTGGAGATGCCATAGAAATACTAGTAGGCTCAATGTTATTTCCCGCATTTGAAAAAAAATGGGGAGTAAAAAGTGATCAATAGATAACATATGGAACTTTTATATTTCTTGGATTTATGCTAGGGCCAATATTTTCAGGTTATTTTTCGGATAAAATAGGTAGAAAAAAAACCATAGAAATATCAAATATAGGTCAATTTATGTTTGGATTAATTTCCTCATTTGCTCCTAATTTCACTATTTTTACTATATTAAGAACTATATATAGTTTCCTAACAGCAATATCATTACCCACATGTTTTACTTATATTTCAGAAGTGACCCATGTCGAAATGAGGGGAAAAGCCGTAGGTATGATTTCTCTTTCTTTTGGATTAGGAGAGTTATTTTTGAGTTTTTTAATGCTTATTTTTATGAATAAGGACTCTACTGACGGAAATATAAAAGGATTATTAATTTTTTGCTCACTTCCATGTTTAATAACATATATTTTATGTAAATTTTATTTAATTGAATCTCCTCGATATCTTTTATACATGAAATAATATGAGAAGGGTTTTGATGAAATAAATAAAATTTACTAAATAAACAGATAGAATATACAATTAACCGAAAATGAGAAATAAAATCTTAAAAAATGGGCATAATTAAGTTTTAATATGAATTAAAATTAAGAAATTCTTTATAAAATATAAAATTTATTTAATAAATATAGAAAAGTCACAATTATTGTAGGGATTTTATATTTTTGTTAAACTTTATTTTCTTATGGTTCAAATTTTGTCCTTCCTATTATTTTTCATTAATTGGAATATAGTTTGGGCTAAAATTACATACTTATTACTTTATTTTAAATCGGAGCGAATTTTCTGGCATTTATAATTATTGATAATCCCAGTTTTGGTAGAAAAAATAGTCTAATAATTATTTAAACTTTAAATTTTGTTATTTTTCTTCTTTTATATTTTTAAACTACTCCATTTATATTTTTTATTTGTATTAGTAAATTACTTGTCTAGACTGGTTGGTGTGTTGTAGGTGCTTATTCGAGTGAAACTTACAAAACTGATTTAAGGTCTTTTGCTATTGCAACATCAAGTATTATAGGAAGATTTGGAGGCGTGATTATGCCTTGGATATGTTATTAAGGATTTCATATTAGGGTTACAGGCCCTTTTTTGCTTTTTGCATTATTTTCAATTATTTCGACTTTTGCGGCTATTTCAATTCCTTTTGATACTACAGGACTTGAACTTGATTTAGAATTTTTATGAATATGTATATTGTTTTTTTAAATAATTTATTTAAACAAAATATTTAATTTTCAATATTTGATAAATATATAAATAAAAGTAAGATATTAAAGTTCTTTATAATAATATAATTTTATTAAAAAAATTAAGTATAAAAAATAAGGAAAAGTAAAATAAAAAATATGTGTTAAAAAATTTTTTTATTTAAAAATAAAAAATGATATAGTTTATTTAATTATTAAATATTTTTAAAAATTTACTATAAATAAAATAATAAATATATGAATAACAAAAATATAAATGACTATATTAATCATTAAAAAGTGGATTTTTATAGAATTGTTATAGTAAATATTATATATATATATAATTATTTTTATTTAAACATATAAAATATTAATATTATGAATTTTATTTTGATAGAATAATGTATTATTTTTTTGTATAAATAAATTATAAAATAAATATATATATATATATAAATATATATATATATATATATATATATATATATATATATATATATATATATATATATATATATATATCAAAATATATATATCATATTATATGGATTTAATCTAATTACTAAAATATTTTATTTTTTTTCTCTTTATTAATTTTATTTTCTTTTAATATTATTTACTTTTAGTTTTAATATTATTTATTTTTCTTTATTTAAATATTATTTTTATGTTATTTTTTTATTATTTAAACTTAAATAAATTATTTATTTAAATAAAATAAGATAATAATACTTTTTTATTTCTTTTTAATTTATTGATTCTTTATAAAAAATTAATTATTAAGAAAACAAATAATAAATTAAAAAAAATCCAAAAATATTACATAAAATAATAAATAAATTAACTTTATGTCAAATTTATATCAAAAAGATTAAAAATAAAAATATACTTATAAATTATATACAAAATGAATTTTTATAATTTTAATTTTGATATGAATTTAAATTATTGTATGTATAATTATTTATTTTATTATGAATGTTTTATGTATAAATAAAAGAATTTTTTTTATTTCTTTAAAATTTTTCAATACTCAATTTACCCATCTTTAATTTCCGGGCATTGCGTTAACTCTTACTACAATTTATAAAAGCAGAGAATTTTATCAAAGTATTATTTATCAAGGTAATTTATAGAAAAGTATCTATGTAAAATAGAAAAAGGTTCTTTAAATGTTTAAAACTATTATGATCTTTAGAATTTTTTTTAAATTTTATCTTATATTATATGAGTTTTATCAAGTATATTAGCATCAGTAATTTTCTTTATATTCGATTATTTTTATTCATTATTTTTTTTTTATTTATCTTCTTTTATTTTGAAAATATACTATAATTTATTACTATAATAGTTCTAGTTATTCACACTCAAATACTAAGAATATACTCCTGAGTGTATATTTCCTGAATTAGTACTACTATGTATCGAATCATTTAGATCATCCTATAATTTTTCATAAAACTATTCCCTTATTTTATCATGAGATTCCTAATAATCATTAAGTTTCATAAAAAGTTAATGTTAATCTTCAAATATTTTAGTATTTATAGGTCCTTTTTTTATCTTTTATTTATATTATAGGTTATTTTAAAAATTTGAATTATTAGTAATATTAAAAAATTCAAAGTTTTATTATATTTATTCTTATAATTATTAATTATTTTACTAAAGTTTTTATTACTGTTTGAGCTCTTTTTTACTAATTTTATTAGCATTAGTTATTTATTTTTCTAATTTATAGGTTTTTTTCTTTTTCTAAAGCTACTTTTCTTATTAAGGTTTCACTTTTATTTATTTATTATTTTATTTTTTTATTTATGAAGTTATTTATTAAGAACTATCGGAATTTCTATTTAATTTCTCATTAATTAAGTTATTTTCTAATTGATTAATGTCTTCAATTTATTCTTAATTCTTTTATTCGAATTAAAAATTAGCGCTTTATTTTTAAAAAGAAAAAGAATTACTGTTATTATTTTTTTAAGAATTTTATTAGTCGAATATAGGAGAAGAAGAATCGTTCTATACTTTATTTAAATTATTAATAATATTTTTAGGACTAGAAGATTTTAAGGGAGATACTTTCTTTTATTATTCTTATTAATGAAAAATAGAAATTTCAGAATCAATATCAGAAATAAGAATACTAGAATGATTTTCGTTTTAATTTAATTACTTTAATTAACTGTTATTAAAATTATTGAATGATAAACTACAATTTTTATAAATCATTTAAGTAATATCATTTTAGGATATACTATTATTAAATTTTTTTTAGGAAAAATTTTATTATTATTGAAAGGAAATCATTTAATTATCTTAAGAATGATCAGATATAGTTTAAGAAATTTTAGACTTATCAATTTATGATTTCTATAGAAAAAATAAATATATAGGAAAAAAAAAAATATATCATAAATAAATAAATAAAATTTTTTAAGAATATTAAATAAATTATAGATTAATTTATAATAGAAAATGATTTTAAAATAAAAATAAAAATGAGAATAAATTGAAAGAAAATTATAGAAAAGATATATATATATATATATATATATATATATATATATATATATATTATATATATATATATATTATTAATTTTATTTTTTATTTTTATTTTTATTTTATTTTTATTTTTATTTTTATTATTATAATTATTATTATTATTATAATTATTATTATTATAAATATTTTTACTCTATATTAAATTACTTTTTTTTTGATTGTTTTTTATTTATTTACATTATTCATTTTTTCCATTATTTCAATTTATTATTTTATCTTTTTTAACTCTCTATCATTAGATGATTCTTTAGTTTTCTAATCTGATTATTATTGATTAAGTTTTTATACTTATTTTTCTTTAATTATTTTTTTTTCATTATTATTTAGTATAATTTCTTTATTGCAAATAATAGTTTAGCTTACTTTTTATAAAGGTTCTTCTTAAGAAGATGTAATATGTTCTATTTCGTGTTCTGTCATTTTATTTAAGATATATATTAGTTAAATTGATATTATAGTTGTAATTAGTTATTGAATATTTTTAATTAAATATGTTATTTTTATAATTTTAGTTTTTTTAATGTAGTGATTTAAAATATGTTTAAATTTTAGAGTGATTTTGAGATATAATAAGAATATTAGAATTAAACTTAATTCTTTAAGATATTTATTTTGTTTTTTTATTTTATTTTTTTCTTTATTATGATATTTTTTTTTCCTTTTAATTTTCACTTTTTTATTTATAATTAATTTAAATTTTTTTTATTTATTTTTTTATGTTTTAATTTTTTGTTTTTTGATTATATGACTATTTAAATAATATTATTTATTCTTATATTATTAATTTTTTCATAAAAATATATATTTTATTAAACTCTTAAATTTATATTAAATGTAATTAGTTTATTTAAAACTTTTATATTTAAGTAATATAATGAAATCTATATAAATTTACATATTATTTGTAAATAAATGATATATAAAATAATTTTTAATTAATATATCATTAAAGCTAATTACAAAAAAAAATGATAATAGTAAATATAAATTATAAAATAAAAAATAAAATAAATATTAATATAATTAATTAATTGAAATTTAATTAAAATTATACAAAATAAATTAATTTAAATAAATATTTATATATATAATATATAAATATAAATATTAATATATATTAATTTTTTTTATATGTATTAATATTTTATAATATTGATTATTTTTAAGTAAAAAATTTATATATAATAAAAATAAATAATTATTTTATTAAAAAAAAAAAAAAAATATTTTAAAAATAAAATATATATTTATATATATATATCAAACTTCAAATTAATTTTAATCATCTTATATCTTTTATTAAATTAATTTAATTGATTAATCTGTTTCTGTAAAAGATGAATTTATATTTTTCTAATTTTGCTAATAAAAATTATCAATTTCTTATTCTTTTTATAAATGATTATAAATTTATTGATATTAATTTTCTATATTTATACAATTATTTTTTTCATATTTAATATTTGCATTTTCTTATTGATTTTTATATTTTTCATCTTTCCCCATTAATTTTTTTCTTTGTTTATTTTGCAATTTACATATTATTTTAACAAGTTCTTTTTCTGAAAGGTTCTCTATATATTTTTCAATTTTATTTTTAAAATAATCTTTCTGATCTTCTTAAAAACTTTCATTTTATTGTTCACTACTACTATTATAACTTAAATTTTCCTAAATTTTAACCAAATCATCTAAATTATAAATTTAATGGTTTTTTTTTTTTGCATTTTAAGAAAATTTCTATTAAGTACTTTCTTTTAAACTACTGGTTATATCAAATGTATTATTACTTAAAGAGCTTTTTAATTACATATTGTAATTTTAATTATCTTATAAAGGAGCTTATATATTATTAATATTTTAATCAGTTTCTATAATATTCTAAGAGCTAATTTCATAACTTATGCATTCATCGTTAATTTCTTTTATTTTTTTATGAGAATCTTTATTATTTATAGATTCAATTTTCATTACTCTTTTTTTATTATTTTTAAATTAATCCTGTTTTAAGTCAACTTTTTCTAAAAATTTATCTTTTCGAATTTCCCTTAAATTATTATTTAATTTATTTCTATAGTAATTTAATATTTTCTTTGTAGCTTTTATTTCATTTTTTTTATCAAAACTACTATTTTAACTCATCTCTTCATTTTCACTACTTTTAAATGAAAATTCTTTTTTTTTATATAGTCTATATTTTCATATTGTCCCTTTTATTATTTATCTATATAAAAAGACCTTTTATCTTATTCCATTTAAAATATCTAACTATTTTCTTCTTCATTTTTTATCTAAATACCTCCGTTTGCTATTTGTTTAAAAGACTAAACTAAATTTTTCACTTCTGACTTAAGATTTGATATTTATTCAATCATTTATATATTGCTTGAGTATTATTATTATTATATATTTTCTTTATTATATTATTTTTATTTTTCACGATATTTATTATTTATTATTTGAGAAAATAATTTTTCAGTTTATCCTTCTTGTTTTTATAAAACTATTCTTTTTAAAGATTTTTCTTATTCTATTTAATATTCTTCTTCTTCTTCATCGTTTTGCTAACTAATATTTACTTTTGGGTCTTCTCTTTATTCAGAATATATAGTTGAATATTTCATTTCTCCAGAAAATTTTAACAAATCCTTATTTATTTAATAACTTTTAGGTTAAAATTATTTTTTTATATCTTTTTAAATAAATTTGCTAAAAGTAAGATTAGATTTACTTGGTTTAGTTATAAAATAAGGTTATTTGTTTGAAATATCTAAACTTTTTTATAAAAAATTGTTAACTTCTTCTTAATTATTATTTAAATTTTTATAATCTTAAATTATTTTTATAGATTATAAGTATTTATCTTATAAAACTTTTTAATTTTCTTAAATTTAATATTTTTCAGTACTTATATAAGACAATTTTTGATTAAATGCGCTTTCGTTTTCAAATAATTTTTATTTTAATTTTTCTTTTTCTTATTTCTCATTTTCTAATTTTTATATCAAATTTCCAATACTCTTTTTATCTTCAAAACATAAATCTTTTAAAGTAACTATTAAATTATTAAAATAATAAAAATAATATTAAATAATATAATAAAAAAAAACTTTTATTTTGAAAATTAGATATATTATCATATGAATAATTAATTAGAGAGCTTTAATTATTAAATATTTATTATTATTATTATTATTATTATTATTATTATTATTAATATTTTTAATATGTTTATTATTGTTTTTATTAATTTTATTCTTGTCTTTCTTGTTATTCTTGTTCTTATTAAATTATATTTTAGTTTTTATTTTTTATTATTGTTTATTGAATTATTTTTAAATTTTTTTTTTTATTTAATTAATTATTTTCTACTTTATTTAGTATTTTTTAATATTTTGATTGGCTTTGTTAATTTTAAGAATTTTATATTAGAATGTTTCCTTTCGTTATATTTTTTAATATTCCTTTTTTTTCTTTTTTTATTTCTTTTAAACTCATTTTTTTTTAAATTATATATTATTTATTAATATATTTTTTTAAAAACAAAAATTACTAACTTTTAATTATTTTATTTATAATATATATATTTTTTCAAATGTCAAATTTTTTATTCATATATTTTTTTTTTAATAATAAATTATATTTTATTTAATTCCATTATTATATATAAATCCTTTTTTTTTTAAATATTATTATATTTTTATAAAATAAAAAAGAATTATAACACCATATTTAAACAAATAAAATAAAAATATTTTTTTTTAAAAAAAAATTATAAAAATATATTCATTATCATATTATATATAATAAATTTAGTATAAAATAATCAAAATATTCTTTAATAAAATTTATTGTTATAAATAGTTATTAAAATCTTATAAAAATAAAAATATATACCATAGTCAATAAAATCCACATATAACTATTATTTAATATTAAATAATAAATTAATAAATATAAAAAACTAAAAAAAACTAAAAAAAAAATAAAAACATTAATTAAATAAACCAAAAAACAAAAAAATAAACAAAATATTAATAAAACTAAAAGAATGCTGTCCCAAAAATGGGTAAACTAAATAATAAACAAAATCGACACTGACGAAATACTAAAAAACCGTCTCGAATACTGCCATGAAGACCTAGATTAAATAATTAAAATAAACCAAAAGCCTAAATTAAATAAAGTTAATGTATAAAACATATCCAGTATATTTCTTTAAAACAACTAAATATTTCAATCTTTAAAAGATTATTTAATAAAATGGAATAACTAGGTTGAAAAATATCGAAAAGATAATTAAATTTTTAATAATATGTAAACTTTGAACGCTATTTTTTCATGTTTGGCAAAACATTTAAAAGAAATTTGCAATACTAAAAATTAATTGGTTTAATAAGATTATTTAAAAGCTACTTAAAATTGGTTATAGTCCTATTTTTATAGTTGTTCTGATACTCAAAGGTAATAGATATAAAAATAAAAAAATATTGAATTTTTTGATAATATTTTGAACAAAAAAATTGATAATAGTAAACAAAATAATACATAAATTGACAAAAGAACATTGAAAAAAAACTCGTCGAATTTGTTTTAAACTACTATGAATAATTTTGGAGTAAATACAAGCGTATTTGAATCTAAAAACAATAGTTTTTATAATAAAACTGAATAAGAAGGGTGTTTAAAAAATAATAATATAAAACCAGTTTATAATGCTTGTCCAAACATAATAACTCATTCTTATGGTATAATTCCATAGCATAAAAAACATAAATATATATCAATTTAATTGGATTAAGATTAATAATTAAAATTACATATAGAAAAATAAAATTGGTAATATAAGGAGTTTTTAAAATAACAAAACTAAATAGAAAGATATATAAAAACAGCATAATAAATGCGACAACAAAAAAACTAATTCTAAATAGCAAATAACGAAAGGAAAAAATATTTCAATAATTTTAATAAACTAAAATATTAAAATAATAATGATAAAATAGAAAAAGAGGAAGAAATAGATAAATAAATAAATTATAATTTATTTGTAAAAATAGAAGATGAAGAAGACGAATAAAAAAAAGAAGATAATAATAAAAATAATGAATTAAATAATATTTTTGATAAATATTCTAAAATAAAAATATTTACAGAAGATGAAAAATTAAAAATAGGGTATATACATTAAATTTAAATAAAAACTATTTATTTATTTATTTAAATTTTAAAAAAGTGAATATAATAAAAAAAAACGATAACAAGAATTAGAAAATATACCTTAGTAATAGTTTGAAGTAAATGAAAATTAAGAACAAGATATTGATTACTAAGTTACATCAATTAAAAGTTAAGATAGACTATCTTATTATAATATTGAAAAATAACAATTTGAAAAATAAATTTCTTTATAAAAGTAAACTATTTAACATAATGAACAAAATGATAAGAAAATTTAATAATAGGTTAAAATAGTAAATTTAACAAAACAAATATAATAAAAATAGTCTATATATAATAATTTTATTAATTAAAATTTATAATAAATATCCAGTATTAAAAAATAAAAACTTAATAATATAATGAGAAAAACAGAATAATTATTTAAAATAAGAAATTCTTCGACAGAAAAATAATGTTTAAATAATAATAAAAACAATATTTAAGTAGAAAATGAATAATAATAAAATTCTATTTCAATTTATTAGAAAAAAATAAAAGAGAAATAAAATATTAAATTTTAAAAAAATTTAAATTAATAAATTTAACATTAAAATATATTCTAATAAACTTTTGATGAAATAAATAGATTAAAAATGCTTTCAAAAAAAAAAAATCTACTATATCTATAAAAACTTTATAAAAATCACTTTTTACACCTATTTTCTAAAAAAAAAAAAATACAAAATTACCATCTCAAGGTTAAATGTTATTAGAAAATCCATTTTTTGAAATTAATTGATAATAATCAAAAAAAATTGTTATATATATAAAAAAAAAATATTAAAAAAAAAATATATAAATACAAATAAATATATTTATATAAATATATTTATATATATATATATGTATTTATATATTTTTATAAAAAAAAATAATAATAAATAAAAATATTTATATTTTAAAAAATTTAATTTTTTTTTCATTAAATGTAATCAACTTCATCAAGCAATATTCTATTTAAATTATTATATTTAGAATAAAATAATTCAAAGAATAATGCTAGCTTAATTGATAATCGTTTTTCGCCGTATTCATGAGATTATCATTATTATAAAATGAAAATCTAGGGATAGAAGGCGTATAATTTTAAAATTTGTATATAATTATATTAATATATATATATAATATATTTAATATAAATTTAAATATATATATTTTACATATTTCTTTATTTTATTTTATATTTTTTTAATTGTATTTATATAATATATTTAATTCAATATTTTATAAATGAATAAAATTTTTTTGTTTTTTTTTAATAATAAATTTATCATAATATTTAATATTTATTATTATTTCCTTTCTTTTTCTTTTATCTTAATTTTTTTATTTAATAATATAATTATTAATAATTTTTTTTTAATATAATATTTATTTATTAATATTATTTTAATAAAAATTTTTAATTAGAACTCTATTTTTTATTTTATTTATATATCTTTTAAATAAAAAAAATATTAATTTTTATTTATATAAAAAATCTTTATTATTAACTTTTATATCTTTTTAAATGTATTATATATTTTAGAATTTAATTATATCTCTTTTGTTTGTTATTTTACAGTAAGTTTTTTAGCAATTATATTAAATATTTACTCATATATTTCGCGATACATTCTTACAAATTATTTTTAAAAATATTTATATTATTTATATTTCTGTAATTTTAATAATATTTATTTTATAATTTTCATTAAAAATATTTTACCTCAATATCAAAATTTTATTTATTATTAATTATTTTTGATATATTGTATTATTTTTAATTTATTTAGATTTTCTGATAAATTTAATATATTTCTATATTTTAGAAACAATTACTTCTAATATATTTATAAAACTATTAATTAATGCCTAAGTGACATTTCTGAAACGAAACACTTTATTTTTTATATATAAATTACATTTTTTTAAATAACATAATTATAAAAATAAATTATAATCTTATTAGTATTTTTATTTTCTTTATTATAACCAATCTTAAATATATAATTTTGATGGTTTTATTAAATTTAATTCTTGTTTATAATTATTTATTTTTTATATAATTTATAAATTAATTAACTTTATTTATTTATTAAAGAAAGAATTTATAAAATTGAAATATCCTTTATAAAAAAATTTATTTGTATTTTTTTTTTACATAATATTAAAATATTTTTAATTTTATTTTATTTTTATAAGGCTATTTATTACTCTATTTAATATTCTGATATTTATTTACAAGACCTTCCATTATCATAGAATGTAATTTTTCCTAAAATTATAAATATTTTCCATCTTATTTTGAATATAAGAAGCCAAAAATTTTTTATTAGTAAGTGTAAAATTTCAGATTTTATAAATTAATCTTAAATATATCATATATAAAATTAATTTTTTTTTTAAATTAAACAATTTAGGAATAAATTTTAAGAATTCCATATTAAAAAATCTTAATTTTATATAAATATTTGTTTGTTTTGAATTTTTTATAGGGTTTTTATTTTTTTGATTAATTATATTTTTTTTTTATATTAAAATTTTCTTTATTTAGATTTTTATATACTAAATTAAAATTTTAGCAAGTTAAACATTTAATTCATTTAGAAATAGTTAAAAATAATGTATGAAGTTTTATCATTTGTTTTATTATTAATTAAGAATAATTAAATATAAATAAAATATTATAATATTATTAATAGAAATATGAAAGCTAAAATATTAATTAAACTATTCTTTTATAATATTATATAAATAATATAAATTTAATATTTATTTATTTAATATAATTTTTTTTATATATTAAATATATATTATATTTTTAATTTATCTTATTTTTATTTTTTTATATATTATAAATTTATAATATATATTTTTATAAAAATAAATAATATTTTAATTTTTTTTATTTACAAAATTCTTTATTATTATAATTTTAAATATTTTTTTTTGTAATTTTATTTTTAAAATAAATTAATATACATTTGTTTTTAGGTTATGAGTATTATATTAAGAATTATGTTATATAATAAATATATAAAAACACAATCTAATTTATAACATATTTAAAAAAGTATTTAAAATAATGTAATTAAAATAATATAATTTAATAAAAAATATTAATTAAAAAAAAAAAATTACAATATATATATATATATATATATATAATAAGATAAAAGTATTATTTAATATAAACAAAAAAACAAAAAAGTTCAATAAAAACCATAAATAATTCTTTTGATTTACTAACTTATTCTCTATAATAAGTGTAATATTAAAAATTAAAATCTCCGAATAAATAAAAAAACCATTTTATTATTTTTTTTTAAAACATAACCTTCCATCATCAAACAAAAAACTCATTATATTCAAAAAAAATAAAATAATAAAAAATAATTGTTTTTAATCCAACATATGTTGTTCAAACCGTCAATAAATTAACGCTTAATATCTTCTTTTAACCCAAGAGCGTAAACAATAACTAATGTTTTGCCACCGTACTTTTTAAAGCACTAATTTAAATAAATTAAATAACAATGACAATAGCAAAAAAGCAATAACTCTTGGCTTCAATTTATTTAAGTTAATCTCCCTATAGTCCAATATCCAAAAACTAAAAGTGATCTATCATCTATTATTTGGGAAAATCAATCATAAAAAACGATGATAGTATAATCCAAGTAAAATAGGAAGTTACAAATAAAAATGCTACAAGTTCCCTTTCGTATTCTGAAATATAAGAAGACTCATAATTTTCATAAAAAAACTAAAAGAAAAGATACAAATAGTGGACAAAAGAAGAATACTATCTATTAAAGTAACTCTATGAAATGAACAGAGAAAAATTAATGATAAATGAGCTTTAATAAGTTCCTAAATACCAAAATGAACTTCAACTTAATGGCAACATTGATGACAAAAAATCAAAGAATCAAAACAAAGAAAGCCCTTTACTCCTTAAGAAGACGAAATATAATTAAAACTATATTAAAAATATACAAAAAATTGGGAAATAATAGACTCTGAATCGGGCAGAAGAAATTGAAAATAGATACGAGACAGATATATTAACAAACTAGATAATTCTATAAATAAAAAATAATGGACTCGTGAAGAAGAAGAAATGGTAATATTATAATAATTTAAACAAAAAAGTTGTAAATGGAGTAAAATTTCAAAATATTTATGCAGACGAACTGAAAATATAGTAAAAAATAGATTCTATGCATATATAAAAAAAAAATATTTAAAAAGTGAAAATACAAAAGATATTAATTAAAATCTTTTTTTAGATGATATTTAATTAAATGGAAATGATAATAATAGCAATTTAAAATCTTCTAATAAATATGATAATGAATTATATTATTTACAGGAAAATAATTTTATTGATGAGGATGAAAGTATTGTAAAAATATTTCATTAGATAATATATGACTTTAAAATGAAAAATAAAATACATATATTAATAGTATGTATTAACAAAATTTTGTTTATATATAAAATATTAATAATTTTGTATATGAAAAAAAATAGTGTTAATTATAAAAAAGGAATAAAAATATAGAAGAAAATAATTTAATTTCTTGTTTAGTGATTTAAGAAAATTATTAAATAAATAATAATGAAATAAAAAGATTTAAGAACTGAAATATAAAATCGATGTTTTAATAATTTAATAATAATAAAAAAAAGATAAAAATCATCTATTAATAAAAATAAAAAAATAATGAATAATATATATAAATAATAAAAGATGTTAATAAAAAATATAGTAATAATAATAATAATAATATAATAATAATAATAATAATAATAATAATAAATATATGGCGAGCAATATGAATTTTAATTGTATAAATCATAATATTTACTTTATACAAAATTTTGTTTTACTAAAAATGGTAAATTATATTATAATAACAAATTTTTTTTTGATAATAGGTAAGTTTAAATTAAAAATAATAATTAATCTATATCTTTTTTTATTATTATCTTTAATTATTCTTTATCCTATTTTTTATCTTTTTTATTCTTTTTTAAAAATAAAAAAAATATATTGTATTTATTTTTAATTTAAATTTAATGTTTTTCTTTATTATTTTATTAATCAAATTTTAATTTAACATTAATTTAAATTTATACTTCTTAATAAAATTATTATATTATTAACTAAAAAAATACTTATTTAATTTATTTATAACTTATAAAACACAAATATTTTAAAAAAAAATTATTAAAAAAAAAATTATAAAAATAATAATAAAAAAAAATATATTTTAATATATTATTTTTATCCTTTTAATAAATACAGATAATAAATTATAAAATATTATCAAAAATAGAATGTTAAAATAGTTATGAAAATTCATTAAATTAATATTAATAAAAAACTATAAAGATATAAATCATAATAATTTAATATCATTAACAATTAAACTTAAAGAAGTCATAATTATTTAAATATAAATAAATAAATAAACATAATAGACAGTAAATAAAATAAAAATTAATATCCATATTAAAAATATAAATATTTTCTATATTTAGAAAATATTAAATATATATATATATATATATAATAAATATATATAAATTTAAATATATTATATATATTTTATATATATATTTTTTTTTATATATTTAACTTTATTATTTATTAATTTAGATTTTTTTTTATATTGACTTTTTAATTTATTTATATTATATTTTTATTTAATAAAAAAACTTTTATTATTATTTATAAATTAATTTAAATAACAAAAAAAAATACAAATTAAATCATTTTTCAACTAATACTAAAATCTTATTCTTAATTATTATTATTATTTTATTTTTAATCTTAATAATTATTATCTTATTAATGAATTTAATTTTTATTATTTTATTATTAATTTAAATTTTCTTCGTATTATTATAAATTATTTTAGTCACTATATTTTTTTTCTTCTTAAATTAATTTTTAATCTTACAAATTTTTTTAAATTTTTTCTTATTTAACATTATTTGTTTCTTCTAAGTTATTTTAAACAATATCTATATTCTAATTATTTAATTATTATTATTATTATAATATTTTATTTAAATTTTCATTTTTTATTAAATTTTCATCTTTTTCAAAAATTTCTTTTTTTTAAAAATTTTCGTCTTATTCAAAAATTTCTTCTTTTTCATATTTTTAAAAATTTTTTTCTTATTTATTTTTTTATTCTTTTTCTTCTTTCTCTTCATTTTCTTTTTTTTCTTATATTTATTATTTTTCTTTTTTCTCTTTTTTTTCTTATTTTTCTTCTTGTTCTTGTTTTTTGTATTTGTCTTCTTTTTCTTCTTTTTCATCTTTTTATAAATTTTCATGTTAATAATTTTAATCTATATTATTTTCCTCTTTTAAATTTTTAATATGATTATTTTAATCTAAAACTAAATTTCCCTAAATAAAATTAATCTATTTATAATAATTCTAACCTGAATTATTAGTAAAAAAATTAAAGTAAGATCTAACATCATTATTTTTATCTTATTATAATTTTTCAGCGATTTAAATTAAGCTTTAATCGTCACTCATTGGACCTATGTATTGAAAAGATATATATATAAATATATATAAAAATAAAATATAAATATATAATATATATATATATATATATATATATATATATATATATATATATATATACCTCTTTATTTAATATGCTAAGATACAGCTTCAGCTAAAGTAATTCTTACATTAACTACTTTATCATTGACCATTTCTTAAAATATATGCATAAAATACATATTAAAAATCTCAGGATGCATCATAAGTTAATTGCATATTAAAATAAATCTTTTTTTTTTATTATATATAAAATATATTTTAATTTTTACGTTTATCTTTAGTTAAATCTACTTGACATTTAAAAAGCTTTTATATTATTTACTATACATATTAAGTATATTTCTTATGTTTATTAGTCTTTTTATAAAGATATTAATATTGAATGCATTTTTTTCGCGGCTTCTTCTCTCACTAATGATACTGTATCATTACATAATTTAAAAGATATGGGCATAATATACCTAAAAACAGTTTCTGAATTAAACATTTAGGCCAAAAGATCTATTTATCTAGCTATTAATTCTCTAATTCTCCATTTTTTGGGATCCTTTTAAAGAATAAGGAATACATCGAGGAAGTTTTCTCTTTTTTAACTATCAAATACATGCATAAATTCAGCCAGATGTTAAATTGCTCCATATTTAACTTCATCATCTTTTTTTAAATATAATATTTAATAAAAATTTAAATATATATTATAGAACTTGGATCTTTTAATATTTAATCCAAAACACTAAATAAGTCATTTTCTGCTTTTTCTTGTCCAATTATATTTGCTATGATATGTAAACTACATGCTATGGGTTTTTTTACTTTCTGTTTAGTTTATTATTTTTTTTTAAATATTTTTATTAAATTTTATTTTATTTAATATATATTTTTTTTCAAATTAACTTTACTTTATTAGTACTTTTGAGTAAACTTGTAAACGTTTTATATAATAAAGGCCATTTTTTAGAACCATATATGGTTAAAATAGCAGGAAAATATTAGGAACATGCTATCATTATCTTAATTTTTAATAAAAAAATAAAAAATATTTATATTATTAATTACTTCATCATCTTATAATAAATTATTAATATTATTATCAACCATTTTATTATAATTTTCAAATAATTTTTCTGAGGGAGCTTAATTTTATAAAGTAGAAATGAAAGGTCCTATTGTTTTTTATTTTATATAATATAAATAATTAATTATATAATAAAATTATAAAATTATTTATAAGTAAAAAACCTAAATTTTTAAAGGCAGAAGTTTTAACCCATTTAGAATTATCTTTTAAAAAATTCAATAAAATATCAGTTAATTCAGTTTCTCTTGTTTAATCATTACATATTTTTGAAATATCTACTAATATATCTACACAAGCTTTTCTTATTCCCCAAAAACTATCTTAACTTTTTCTTTTTAATATATATATTTTTTTTTTAAATAAAAATTAAATTATTAGTATTTAAATAAAAATACCTAATATAAAAAGGCAAAAGTCTTTATTTAAAAAATTCTTGGGAAACTTCTTTGCCTATTTTAGGTAAATTTAGAACACTTTCTTTTTTTACTCTTAATTAAGGATCTTCTCCTAAACTCAAAATTTCTAATCCTACAAATTACTCACAAAGAGCAGATCCAAAGCAATGAGCCATTAAAGTTAATAATTAAATTGCAACGATTCTATTATCTTCATTATAATCATCATGTGCCATAGTAAGTACTTTTGTTAAAATGCATTTTCCTCTATCATCTTCATTTAAAATATCAGCAATTATTCCTATTATTTTTCCGACATCTTCTTTTATCTTTTTTTATATATACATTTTTATTTATAATATATTTTATAATTACATCTATATTTGTTTTTCCTAATAAATTAAATAACTTAGGCGTCAATATATCTCTTATTTATTTATATCCGTCATTAAATTATTTAAAGTATTCTATTATATAAGGCATTTATTAAATTAAAGTTCTTTTAATATCATCATTATCATTGATCTTTTATTTTTTTACATATAGATAGAAGATGTTATATTTATAATTTTTATTTTATATTTACTATTTATTCTATTATTGCATTTAAATGAATTTATGTTTTATCACCTATTAATTATAATAAATCTGCTAAATGCTTAACATAAGTTAATCTTTTATTTTTTTATATTAATAATATTTTTTTTTATTTTTTTAGAAATAAAACCTTTCATTGTATGTTAATTTAGATATATTTAATAATTTATTTAAAGCACCTTCTTAACTAAAATCTATAAAAACTCCATCAATTTAATCTCTTGAGACTTCAGGGAATTTCTCTATTTCTCCTAATTTTTCCATATCTTCATTATTTTATTTCATATTATCATTTGATATATTTTTAGTTAATACTTATAATATTTAAATATATATATATATATATATATATATATATATATATATATATATATATATTATATATATATAATTATATATATATATATTTTTAAGTTTATTATTTTACTTTTTGGTTAATTAGCTGATTATTCATCTTCTATTATATCTGACATTTTTATATTATAAAGTTTTTTTTTTTATTTTTATATTTTTTTTATAATTTTAAAGATTAAGAAAGAGGATATAAATAGATAAATATTTTATTATTTATTTAATTAATATTCAATAAAATAAATAAATAATTATATTTCTTCATATTTATTAATATTTTCTTTGTTTTTTGTTTTTTTTTTTCTTAATAGTATATAAATTCTTTCATTTTATTAATAAAAAATTTTAAAAATATAATTAAAATATTTTTATTTAATAAATAGAAAAAAAATAAAAAAAGTAATAATGCTCTAATAAAAAAACTTTTTTTATTATACAGATAAATAATATAATAACACATATATAAATTACAAAAAGCCAGAGGAAAATTAATATAAAAAGAAAATTTTTATACCTGATATATACGAAACTAAATCATAAAAAGAAATAAAATCTAACATATCAAGAGTAAATTTCAATTTTTTGATTTGGGTATTTAAAAACAAAGATAAATTGAAACCAAATACAAACGATAAAAGAATAATAATATCAAGTTTAATAGATATTAATTGTGCAATAGGTTTTGGTGCTGCTACAGGTTGGTTGAGTTATTTGTTTTTATCAAAAATGCATACAACATTCTTAGAAATATATTTTGAAAATTATATTAAAATAAAAACTTTGAAAATTGCCTTTAGTACAGGAATTTTCGCTTTAAATACTTATAAATTCGTAAAAATAATATTAGATTAGAAATTCATATACGATCTTGCTTTAGAATATAAAGATGAAGTATATTAAGAATCACTTAATGATTCTAAATGTGAACATATTATTTAATAATATAAAAATTATTGAAATTTTTTATTTTTAATAAAAATATAATTTATCTAGATTTTATTGTAAATTGAGTTTTATAAATAAATAAAAATGTATTATAAAATTAAATATAAAACTATATATAAATATATATTTATGATATATATATATATATATTTATATATTTATATTTTAAAATAAATCATCTAATTTTTAAATTAAGTTTTTATAGTAATGTTTAAAAATTATTTTTTATATAGTATTTAGTTAAATTTTTTTTTATATATAATTCATTAATTATTTTATATTGATGTGTACTTTTCCTAAAAATAATAATTAAACATTTAAGTTTTTACAAAAAGTTCAATAAACTCATTTTTTCATTAAAGCTTTGAACAAATTAATCTTTGAAATTTTTAATATTAATATATTCATTTAACTAAGGCATTTTTTAATAAAATATTCATTAACGAATTCACTAAACTTGCGAAAAATTTCATACGTTAATTCTTTTTTATTAACCTAATTTTTATTATTTATAATATTATTTATTCCTTAAATAATTTTATTATTATTTTTATTTTTGAAATAATTAAAATTCCAAACTTGATTTTATTGCGGTTTAAATTAATCAAATAAACTTTGAGTTTACTTTTGAATTTTCTTATATATTTTTTTCGAAATTCCTTTTACAATATCCTAATTTTCTATATAAACTTCATCTTATATATATACAAAAATCACATTTTTTTGATTGAATTTTTTCTTTTTAATTTTCATTAAAAAATAAATTAAATAAAAATATCAATTAAAAATATACCAATTAAATAAATTCTTAACTTTAATTAATTCCCGTAATAATAGGAATAGGGGAGTCTAAAAGATCAAATCCATTAAAAGGCAAACTATATATACACGGGTAGAGCCATTTAAAAGGTTAAATCAACAATTAAGAAAATAACATACAATAAGAAGATAAAAGCGGCACATTCTAACTAACAAAACAAATATTATATTCTAAAAGTACTGCCAAAAAAATAAAAATAATCTAATCTAAATTCTAGAATCTAAAAAGGCATTCTTCGATAATATAATCTAGACATTAAATATTAGGAATCTATTCTGGAAGATTATATTGGAAGATTTTATCAAATTAGAATTAAAAAGAGAATCCTTAATTTAATTAAATAGAAATATATTGTAATTTTTTTATATATTCAGATGAGATTTCTGAAATTTATTCAAGGAAAAAAGCCACATCTATATATTATATTTGATTTTTATCAGAATTTTTGTCAAGTGTTTCTTAGAAATTACTTTAAATATTTAATTTCCTTATTTTTATTTCAGTTTAAATCCCGAAATAAAGATCAATGAAAAATTATGTTAATGGAAAATAAGTCACAAAACACAAAATTTTACTAGTTTTATAAATTCTTTTCTTTTCTTAAAAATATTTACCTTTTTCCTATTTTTTTATATAAAAGTCTTTCATTCTAATACATATACAATATATTTTTTCATTATCTTGTTCCTATTATGTATTAAATTATTATATGAACAAATTCTTTTAAATATTAGTTATATTTGGAAATATTAATTTATTTAATTAACTATTAGATTCACTTTACCATATTTTTTTTATTTTCACACCAAAAGGATATACATATTGACTTATACTATTCTCCATATGGCTTTTATTAGAAATTTTATACTAATAATTTATTATAGGAGGTAAATAAAAGATTTCTTTTTTATCATTTTTATCTATTTTTTCTATATTATTATAATCAGGACCTATTACGAAAAACTCTTCAAGAATTTTCGAGGGATTATTTCTTTCTTTTTATTGTGTATGTGTTTTAAATAAAGATTCTTTTATGTATTTTATTTAAGGCTAAACTTCTTCTTTTTCATTTTCTTTATATGTATAGTAATTTGGAACTTCAGTTTGGAGTATTTGTGTATATTTTTTTTAAAGGGCTAATTAGAGTGCCCGTATTTAAGTTTCTTAATTTTATGTTTGTTTTTCTAAAGTAAATATTTTAGATTGAAAAAAAGATAATATTTATTTAAAGTCTTCTTGATTTTTTTCTTAATTTAGAAAATTTTAGATTTTTTGATTTATTTCGATTTCTGTGTATATTGTATCTTATTACATTTTTTTTTTTTTAATTCTTTTTTTTTTTATTTCTTTTATATTTTATTCTTCTTTTTTTTTAAAAAAAAAATAAAAAATAAAAAATTAATTTAATTTAATTTAAAAATGTAGATTTTTTTATTAAATGTAATTATTTTTTTTGTTTTGTTTCTATTAAATTTATAGGTTTAATTGAAAATAATTAGGTTATCTTATTTAATAAATTTATTATTTTATTTATGGAAACTTAATATAAATAAAGTATTTTAGTAATTTTAAAATAAATAAAGTAATTTTAATTTAAATAAATGAAAAATAATTTGTTATATAAAAATTACTTTCATAGTATTTAATATATATTTATATTAGTAAATAAATTAAGTGTTTTTTATTAATTTTTTTTTTTTTTTTCTAATTAAACTAAAAATAATGGATAAATAGAATATTAAATCCTTAAATTAAATATCTGAAATAGCAGAAAGTGAATTTAGCTAAACAAGCTTTAACATTTAAAAAAGAAGTTGATTTTTTAATAAAAAATAAAAATAAAAAACATTAAATAAAAAAAGATGAGTTAAAAAAGAATGAATAGGATACAATTACAAAAAATAAAAATATGGCTTTCTCATAAGAAATAAATAGAAATTATTTAAAGAGAGGAACATTGAATTCAGATTCTTTAATAGATATAGATTTAGGTTAATTAAGATTTAAATTAAATGAAAAGGAATAAGTTTTAATAAATTATTTAAAATAAGAAAATATAGATTTATTTGAAGAAGAAAACTAAAATGTATAAAATAATAATAATAATAAAAAATAAAAAAAAATAGATAACAATATATGTATTAAGGAAAAAATAAAGAAATTAATTGGAGATAAATTTCCTTTATCATATTTTCAAAAATTTTCCTTTTTTTTAAGATTATTATTTTACATAAGATGCTGATGACATATTAAATTTCACAAAAATTTAAAAAGGTTTAATACATAGATTTTATAAAAAAAATGAAATTCTATTTAATGTAGGTATTTATAAAATAAAATATTCTATAAAATAAATAAAATTAAAGGTGATAAAGGAGTAGAATTTTTTACTGTTTTAAAAGGTTCTTTTTATATATATATTTCTTTGTTTTAAAATGTATATAGGATCTGCTTATTGTCTTATTATTAATCCAAATTATTAACAAGAAAAATTTAAAAAAGTTAAGGCTTTTAAATATGTAAAGGAAAAATAAGGCGAAACTAAATATGAGTCAGTTGCAAGGACATTTATAAATTCAATTACTAATAAAATAAATTAAAAAGTTTCGATATAAAATAACGTGAAAGAATTTGTTTAAAAAATAAAATTATATTCTTAAAAAAAATCTAGTTTAAGAAAACTTCTAGGAATGTATTTTTTTTGTTTTATTTAAAAATTAAAAAAAATAAATAGATTTAGATCATCTTCGTGTTAATTTATAGATTAAATGTTAAACGAAGAAAATACATCTTAAGTAACACAAGAAGAAGAAAACGAATTTTTATAATAAAACTATCCTTAATTTATATTAGTAAAAAAGTTCTTTCCGGGAGATAGTTTTGGAGAAATAGCTTTATTGACCCAATAAGGTAGAACAGCAACATTAGTAGCAAGAGAAGATTCTCATTTTATGATTTTAAACAAAAATGCATTTGATAAAGCTATAGGAAGTTGCAAGATAACATTATGGAGAGAAAAAATAGATTTTTTACATTCGTTTGATTTTTTCTCTTGTATGACTACTAGGAAACTATATTAGTTATTATAATAAATACAAATATTGAAATTGAAAATAAAAGAGACTGTATATAACGAAGGAGATAATGCGAATTTTTTATTTTTAATAAAAGAAGGAGAAATCGAACTTTAAAAAATTTTATAAAATGAGGAAATCGAATAATAAGAATACTAGAATAAAGTATACATATTAAATATATATGGTTTATTAATAAAAAAATAAAAAGGATGGTATTAATTAGTTATTGTAAAGAAGAAAAACTTTAAATAGTAGATTAAGACATACTTTAAAAATTATTAGTGAAGGAAGCTTTTTCGGAGATGAAGAGATTGTGAAAAAAATAGATTTAAGATAAGAAAGGGCTATATGTTATAGTGGACAAGCGGAAATTTATTAAATAGACTTACAAGTATTTTTTTATAGAAATAATTTTATACTTATATGCTTATTTAATTTATTCTTATATATTTTTTTAATTTTATATATAAAATTAAGAGCATATTTAATATTTTTGGAAATAATTTTTTTGATAAATTAATAGAATAAGTGAGAGTAAAAGACGTTTTAAAAAAAGAAAGATTATAAAATTTAATAAAAATGTAAATCCCATATAAAAACTTTGAAAATATAAACGAATTTTTACTATATGAATAAGAAAAGAAACTACTTTAATAAGAAAAGAAACTAATGTAATAAGAAAAAGACTTACAAAAAAAATAAATGGATAATAGATTAAACTAATTCCAAATAAAATGTAATAACTCGAATAATATAATTAAAAATGATAAAAAAAACACTTAAATAAGTTCTAATGACGAAATATCTGAAAGTTCTATAGATTATATTAAAAATAAAAAAAAGACCGTAAGAAAAACAGTATTTTGGAAAAAGAAATAGAAACTTTTTAAAAATTAAATGATAAAGTTACAAGTATATAGAATTTAATTAATACAAACTAAAGTAATATAGTATTAGAATAAATAGTTTATTCAAATTAAAAGAAAAGACCTAATATAAAAAATTCCGAATAAAAAAGCATTAACCCTTATTTAGAATAATATAAAATTAACAATTAAAAAATTCAATTTTAAACAGAATTTTAATCAAATGGAAATCTTTTATTTAACACAGAAAATCTCATTTCTAAAAAACAAGTAAATAAGAATTATTTATTTTATGCATAATAGAACTAAAAGTAATATTTAAGACACTTTTACTAAAATTAATTAAGTAATAATAGCTAATAATAGAATTAAATATTTAATATATAATATAATTCTTGTAGAGGTAATAATGATGATAATCTTTAGAAATCTTAGAAAATATATAAACTCATATAATTTTATATAGAAACCCAGTTAGTTTAGATAAAATAAGTAAAGAACTTAAAGTTCTTAAAATTATATTAATTTTGATGATAATTAATATGGAATTGTTTAAAAAGACGAGTGTAAAAAATAGTTTACTATTAAAAATAATATAAATTAAAAAAAAAATATTTCGCAAACATTATTTATCAATTCAGTAAAAAAAAAAATATTAATATTAAATAATTTAAATAAAAAGAAATAGTAAATAAATAATTCAAAAAAAAATGATGACGAAAATATATTTTTATAACTATCTTATTCAAACTATATAAAAGATAAAAAACAAAAACTAAAATAAGAATAATCTTTGGACCTTTAAAGAAATATTAATTTAAATTCAGAAAATTAAAATTTTAGTAATATTTATAAATAATAATAAAATTAATAGTAAATATAATAATAAAAATAATAATAATAATAATAATAATAATAATAATAATAATAATAATAATTAAATTAATTTTATTAATCTAATCATGATTATTAATAAAATAATAATAAAATTTATGAAAAAATAAAATATATTAAATAAATCTTCCTTAAGTATATAAAAATAAGTTAAATAAATAATCTCTTTTCAAACTTTAATAATTTTCAAAATAAAATAATATTAATAATGCTTATTAATATATAAATTAATCTATTGTTTCATAAAAATAGGAAATAAAGTAAGAACAAAATTCTTTAAATTATGATAATGAATAGATTATAAATAAATTAGCGTTTAATAATTAATAATATTTAGACATATTAAAAAATAAATATAATTAAATTAAAAAAATATGAAAATTATATTTTTAAAAAAATAAAAAAACACATAAAAAATAATAAAAATATATATTTTTATTACAAAAAAAAATAATATATATTATTAATTATAGTGAAAATAATAATTATGAATAAATAAATTTTTAAAATAATCTAAACTATAATAATAATAAATATCTTTTATTTTTCAAAATGTTTAAAATAAAACCATTAAATTCAAATAAAACCCTAAAAAACTATTACAAATTCATTAAATACCTTCATATAATCCAATAATTCTACCGATTCCATTAATATACCAAATAAATAAATAAATAATATCCAATATGATCCTAATTTACTAAAAATACCATTTGATAAGAAAGATTTCGAAGAAGAAATGCAAATATCGAAATAAAATCTCAAAAATATGACATAAGAATAATATATAGATAATTTAAACCGCATTTAAAAACTAGTAGATGATAATAAAAAAATAATTCAATAAAAAAGCGACGTTTTGAAACTTTATTTTATCCACACAGCTTAGTATTTATCTAATTATTTAAATTAGCTTTAAATGATAATAGAATAAAACCACGAAATACTAGTAAATTTAGCCGTAACTATTATGTTATATGAAATAGATATATATGATAAGTCTATAGATAAATTTAAGGATTCCATATTCAATATATTGACGCGAATACCTCCTCCTTATTCAAAATGTGAATAAAAAATATATTGTGAAGATTGTATTTAAATTAAAGACTGCGTTTGGGCAGCAGATAAAAGATTCTGCTATACAGGATCGGCTGATGATGGGTGCTATTTCTATTAATGTGAGTATTTTATGAAATATGAATGTATAAGTAATGCTAAAGTAGACAAAAAAGAACAAAAATAAATAAAAAATGAGCTTGTGGATATAAAAGAATACGATAAAAGTTTTGATTTGAAATAATTTATGGAAGGGTCTGCTTTGGAAATATAAGAAAAGCTTATACCGGACACTTAGAAAAATTTTATATACAATGAATAACAAAAGTTAATAAATTTAAAAGGAAAAATACAAGAATTAAGAATAAAAATAAACAATTTAAAAAAATTAATTCTTAAAATAAAATATTCGGTATTAATAAAAAAAAACTAACGCGAAAATAATAAAAAATAAGAAAACGAAGATTACACAAAATAAGAATATAAGGGAAATTTTCTAGATTCAATATACGAAAAAACAACTGAAAGAAATTTAACAATTGACTAATTAATAATATAATAAAAAAATAAATAAAGTAGATAATCAATATAGGAAAATAAAAATGGTAATAATGATAATAATGATAATAATGATAATAATAATTAAAAATAATAATATAATCCTAACTCTAAGATAATTTAACTTTTTGTTAATGAAAATGGCACAATAAAAGACCAAGATGGAAAAATAATTAAAGGACTTTTCGTTAGTGCGGATTAATAATTATTTGATACGAGGACAGGTGAATTAAGGAAAGATCTTAAAATTATAAATAAATAAATTGTTAAAATAGATGGTAAACCAATAGATTAGGAATATATGGATAATTATTTAAATTAAGAATAAAATTCAAAAGGATTCATTGATTATATTTTAAAATTATGGTATGGAGATGATGAAGACCCAAGATTTTAACCCAGAAGTACAAATTAATAGAAAGATATTTTCGAAGATTATTAAAAATAAGTTACTATTGATATCGAATCTGATGATATTCAAAATGAAGAGTAAACTATTCTTGATTATGTATAATATAGATTACTTGAAGAAGAAAAAAATAAGAATAATAATAAAAAAAAAAAATGATATTTTATATATATATATTAAAATAATTATTTATTTTTATAAAAAATAAAAAAAAGTTATTTTTTTTTCGATAAATCAAAATAAAATAAAAAAAAATGATAAAAAGAAAATTTAAAAGTTCAAATTAATAATCTATATTAAATTTAGATAATAAAAAATAAGTTTAAATAATAATAAAACGAGATTAAAAATAAAATTTCCCGAAAGTAATTAAAAAATAATAATCGGATTCGTATTTACCTTCTTTATTAACAACATAATAATAAAATTAATATGTTAAAAAAAGTTAAAATTAAACAACAAAATAAAAGAAATAATATGTTTTTATTTATTTATTTTTTTCCAAAAAAAATAAATAAAAGTTTATTCATTTAATTAATTTTAATAACTTAATTAATCTATAAGGAAATTCAATTAGCAATAAAAATAAAAAAATGATCTTAGTTTTTCTTATAGTAAACAGCATAATACCTCTACTAGTTCAATTAATAGAAAGTTACCTTCTTAGTAAAATAAATATTATATACCAAGATAATTATCAGCAAAGTAATCTATTAAAATATTGAATGATTCTAATATTACTTAACAAAATAAATAAAAGTACTTTTAAAAAAAAAAAAATCTATTTGTTTAGTTTGTATTTTTTTATTATAGTATAAATGAATTAAAAAGCTTGTCAAAATTTGTTAATTACAATCTTTATAAGAATAGAACTGAAAAAGTATAATTAGATAATTTTATATATAAATAATATGTATATATATATATAAAATATAAAGGGAAGTAGGGCAACTTACTTTGCAAAAAACATGCTTGAATCTGGATATAAATAAAAAAATGTTCCAAACAAAACGATTATTGATAGAATAAAAAGCCTAAAACCAAATGAGAAAATAAAGCCTGAATAAAATAACATAAATAAAAATTTAGAATAATAATTCTAAAATTCACGAAAACATATATCAATGGTTTATTTATTTAATTAGTTAATTAAAAAATTTATTATTTTATTTATTTTTTATATCTAAAATAAAAATATATATCAAGACTTTTAATATTGGAAAAGAATAAGTTATTATTAATAATAATAAAATAATAAGATCATCATAAATTCCAAGATTTAATTTTAAAAAGAAAGCAGATAAAAAATAATCTAAAACTTTTAAAGATTAATTAGTATAAAATACTAATAAATAATTTTTAATCTGTAACGCAATAAAACAATGAAAATAATAAAGAAAATTAAAAATAATTTTTATTTATATAAATTTAATAGTTAAAAAAATAATTTTTTTTAGAAAAATATTTATTAAAGTATATTTTTTTTTATATTGTTAAATATAATTTAATAAATACAAAATATTTATTAAAGTCAATGAAAATATTAAACAGAAAATTATTGATTTTAGTTATTTTTATTTATATATAGAGCACAAACTTCTTAATAAATAAAAAAAACGACAAAAAAGCTTTTTATTATGATATTATAATTTAAAAAAAAAAAAAAAACATAACATTTTTATCAATAATTATAGGAAAAATAAAAAATTTAAAAGATAACACTTATACAACATAAAGAAGAAATAATAATATCATATCAAAATTATTAATAAATAAATGAAATAAATAGTACAAAAAAGACTGATATTTATTTTATTATTTCAATATATTTTAATGACCAAAACGATTTCAAAAAGCCCATAAAAAAAAAGATAATTAAATACATGTAATTAAAATCAATATATACAAAATAACAAATGCGTTAATGCCTGCACTGAAGGCTATTATTTACAATTACAAATTAAAACATGTTTAAATTGTCATAATTCATGTTCTACATGTACAGGCCCAACTTAAAAGGAATGCTTAAAATGTAAATCTTCATATTTTTATTTAGAAAAAGACTAAACATGTTTATCCGAATGTCCTATCCAATACTACGATGGTAAATAAAAAAAAAAGAAGCAAAAATCTTAATAAATTCAATTATATTAAATTTATATATAAATAAATTTTTAAATTAAAAAAATAAAGAAAACGGTATATGTAACCGATGTAAGGAAAGATGTTCCATATGTAAAAATAATAACACATGCTTTTAATGCATAAACTCTAAAATTTTACTAAATAATCAATGTTACGATAAATGTCCTATAGGTTATTATTAATTAGAAAAAATATGTCTAAGATGTACCTCTAAATGCTCTTAATGTATTTCATAAACAATATGCACATAATGTAGCAAAAAAACATAACAATTACATATATAAAAAACAAACAAAAAATAGGTAATAAGAACTATTATCTTGAAAATAATTAATGTTAAAAATGTCATTAAAATTGTCAAAACGGCTGTAAAGGTCCTACGATTTTTGATTGTCTTTTTGATTGTGCATCTACTTTATATAAAGCAACTTATTAATAATAATCCGTATGTACTTTGGACTGTTCAGAAATCCAAAACTCATTTCTATCTAAATCTGGAGTATATAATTGCAACGAATCCTCATGTATCCCGAACTGTTAACTATGTATAAAATAAAATTTCTGCCAAAGATGTATGCCTGGTTATTTTTTAAATTTAATTTCCTAAAACACCCAAGAATGTACTAAATGTAACCCTGCATGCTAAGAATGTATAGGTCTTTCCAGATATTAATGTCTTTCATGTTCTGATTAGATGTTATTATATAAAAATCAATGCCTAGAAACATGCTTAACAGGCTACGAATTCCAAAACTAATGTTTTGAATGTCCCTAAAGCTTAAACTGTATATAATGTACATTCGAAAACTAAGAAATAAAATGCTTTAATTGCAAAAATTAATTTTTTATGAATTCTTAAAATTCCATTTGTGAGAAATGTCATCCAAACTGTAGTTAATGTATAGGTCCTTCCCAAAAAGAATGCCTAGTTTGCAATTCTGGATTTTTTTTAACTAAGGTGAGTGCTTTTTATATTCTATAGATAAAACATGTCCATAATCAACATACCCAGATACCCGAAATTTCAAATGTTTAAAATGTAATGAAAACTGTTCCAAATGTAATCAATTTAGATGTCTATAATGTATTGATTAAAGTTAATTTTTTATAAATGAATTTGGTTTTTGTATTAAATGTAGTTAAGTTATACCTTCTTGTGAATAATGTGTTTCTGAATTGTATTGTTAAAAGTGTTAAGAGGGATTTTTTGTTAATAATATCATGAAATGTTAACCAATTTCTGATTGTCCTTCTTTATTTTACCTAACTAAATAAAATATATGTGAAAAATGTAATTTAAACAATTGTCTTTAATGTAAGTCTTCGCAACAATGTATATAATGCGAAAACTCTTTTTTTTTAAACTCAACGAATTCCTAATGTTAGAAATGTTAAGAAAACTGTTTAAAATGCAAGTAATATTTTTTATTTTTTTTCTATTTTTATTTTTTAAAAATAAAAAAGCTCTTAGAATGACTGTATTTAATGTGAAGATAATTTCTTCCATTTTTAAAACCAAGGAAAAAGCTATATTTGTACACAAGAATGTCCAGAAACCCACTATTTAGATACTTTAAATAATTTTTGTTTAAAATGTAATCCGAATTGCCTCAAATGTTCATCCATAAACGAATGTACATCCTGCCTTGACGGTTTTTACTTAGATGAAATAGAAAAGACATGTAAATAATGTTCCCCAATATGTGAAAAATGTACTCTAAAATCTAAAATCTGCACAAAATGCGCATTTTTAAAATTCGTTTATTTATTAAACTAAACCTAAAGTAAAAAAATTAAAAAAAAGTAAGTAAAAAAATATAAAAAAATAAGTGGAATGTAGAGATTCATGTGACCAAGATTAATACTTTATTCAAGAATAAAGAATATGTATGTAATGTCCAACTGGCTGTAATTCTTGTTTAGACCAATAAACATGTTATTCGTGTAAATCTTCATATTTTTAAGTGTCCTAAACATGCCAATAATGTCCTCCTTAATGCATATCTTGTGTAAATGCAACAACTTGTATATCTTGTAGCAAAAATTTTTACCTTTTCCAAAATCAATGTCTATCTAAATGTACCGAACCAAAATTTTACGAAAATCCTTTGAAATAAAAATGCTAAAAATGTAGCATTAAGAATTGTCTTGAATGTACCCAAGATGGTAATATATGCACTAGATGTTAAGAAGAATATTATTTTTAAACAAACTAATGTGTAAAATGCAAAAATAATTGCCTTACATGTTCACATGTAA